GACACTGACAAAATGCAGAGTCTTCCGAACGTCTCGAGTTGCAATCTGCGAATGTTTAGCATGCGATTCGCCCCCGCCAAATGTAAGATGATGCTACAGGACTTGACTACATCGACTCACACCTAGCTTAGAAATAAGAGGTGAACTGGTTGGTGGGCAGTGTTGACCACTTCACTTATTTGGGAAGTTGCATCAACCCAACGGGTTGATCGCTGACGAAATCTCAGTATGGATACAGAAGGCTCGTTTCGCATATGCCAGTTTACGCCACCTCAGGTTTAGACGTGATTTTCGGCTGGCTATCAACCAAAGGGCATGTGTACTGCTCATCAGTCTAATCCGTCCTCCTCTATAGCTGTGAGACCTAGCGATTGAGGGTGGAGGACATGAAAAGGCCAGCTGTCTTTGATCATAGGTGTCTGTGTTCTATCTCCAGTGTTAAGTAGTAAAAGAGGGTCAGCAATATTGAGGCTAGACATCAGTCGAGTGCTGGGGAAATCAGTCGACGAGGTTTTCAAGCAGTTACACCGATTGAGGTGGTTAAGACATGTGTTACACATGCATGCCTAGCCATCGCCTTCCTCGACGGGCAATATTAGCTGACTGACATACAGTCAGGTTGGAAAGTGGCTAGCGGCGGTCAAACCAAAACATGGGCCGAGTCAACAGTTAGTTTGGGCCACGTCGGGAGGTGGAGACTTGCTGGTTGGGGCGCTCGGGGCGGTAAAAACCAATGTATAGAGATATGGTCGGTAAAAAGGCTCAAAATAGTTCTAAATGGCGCAGATGCACTAACTGCTTGTGACTTATAATACCCAATGAAACTATATTGTTCTTCGGTATAACTTTACTTTTTGTCTCATGTCTCTGTTATGCATTTCATTTTATTTTCTTCTCTTGCTTTGTGTACTGAGTGAAGCGTGGCGACTCGAAATCCTGCACATCGGTGCAAATTTCTATGTTGAAAACATACAGCGAAATTGGACTGATATATCAAACATCAAACCTAATGTTAAGCGAGGGTAACCTATAACATGAACATTTGATACAACAAATTGAACTGTATGTTGTACATCATGTTCAATGCATCTGTCAACTACAATAGTTTATTAGTTAGTAAAGACTTGTTGGACGAGTAGCGTATAAATGCTATTTGCTATACTTCTGCTATAGGTAGACCTAACGTAGGTTACCAATTATCATTTGCGATGTGGGGGAAAGCAACACATCACTGTCGTACTAGACTCACTCCTATCACTTTTTAAATTGATTTCACGACTGTCCCCATTTTATTTCCTTCTCACAGGATGGCCTCCGTGTCACCCTTGTCGGCTCAACGCGTCATTTCTTGCAAAAGTTACACTCGTTCACCGGGCGTATGCTGTCACTCATCAGCTTCCAAGGTGTGTATTCAGTAAGTTCCCATTTTTTGTACATATTTGTTGGTGGTTTGATTCTATGGTTCATTGGAAAGCAGAGTTCTTAGTTGCTTATCCTTTCCGGCCATTCGATCTTTAGCATGAAGTAAGCAATCAGAACTGTTGATGAAAGTTCGCAGCAAACTGTTTTAAATGTGTTTCGTCAAGAGCGAGTTAAATCTTTGAAACATTTAGAAGGACTAACTTGATGAAAGTGTAAAAAATGCGGATCTTGTTCCTGCAAGCTGTAGTGCTGAAGAAGTTGCTTAACTAAATACTGGTCGACGCTACCGAACGCCTCCTGAAAGTCAATGAAGTCGAGGTAAACGGTCGAATGTCATCCCACGTTGTGTTCGATGATGATACGTGATGCTGAGATTTGGTCTTTAAATTACTTGTTTCCGTGTAGGATATTTTAAGTCATTCTGAATTCGACCTTCAGTTTCCGATTATTGAACTTCAATTGTGGTCCATCTAGAGGGTTCTTTGCGCTAGATGGTGAGTGATGTGAGCCTACATCGGCTACCGTTCTCGATCTTTTGTTCAATAGACTACGCCACCACTTTCTTAAAATAAGGATGACGATTACCTGACTTTCGGTCTTTTCATCTGGTGAAATCCATGTCACCTTTTGTACATCTTTGTGCTCTGTCTCCAATCACCACATCACTGAAGGTACGTATATATGTGAAGAGTTCTCCATCATCATTAATTTCACCGAACACTTATTGACCCATGATGAATTATCCTCCAGTATATTTAGCTCACAGATTGGGTGACAACATATAGCTGGCATCTTGTCTGTTACTCACTACAGTTTCCTGCAAAAGTCTTCCTTCTCCTGCCCAGTTTTTATGAGTATAGGATTGTGTAATTGCAACGTTCTTTTCTTCCGAGTTCAATGTTGTTGTCATGATCCTGCAAGAGGTTGGTTCCCACAGCATGAGACCTATCGATCCCGTTAGTGACATCATGCTAGCTAAATCTTAAGTGTGCTTGAGGTTGTTGTCTGGGTGACCGGAGTAGGTTACTGTCATTTCAGTTAATAATTTGGAAAGACCACTTCCATTCCATCAGTTTTTACAAATTTCTAGCACTTATGTAATATGTCCTCTCATTTCTCGTGTAATCTGAGCTGCTTTGTCAGCTCTAAACGTAGTGCAGACATTTTATGTCCCTACCCTTTATTTTGCTTTCATCGGAAGACGACATATCAACTGACTGACTTACCGAAGGGTTTCACCAGCCCGTGACATTTCGTCTCTGCGACTTAGAAAAGAATAAGTTTGTGTTTCATAACTCACTGGTGCTTGGAAGTTTCTGTAGTGGTTGTATTGATTTTTCCGAGTTGACTTGTTGACCGCACGCCTCCTAACCTTCCTTCTTTCTCCGGGTTAATGGACTACATGATGTTATTTAGGTAATGAGTACGCACAAAAAGGCGTGGCTAATGCACTTTCACTTTACTGTAGCACAAATATATGTCTGTTTGATGATACAACTTGATATACCGAAGAATTCGAATATGCCAGCTGAAATAGGAATAAAACTGTAATGCCACCAGAGAAAAAACAGAAGAAACCAGAAAAGTAAGCTGTCAGAGAGTATTAGATAACTGAAATCCTTGGTGGGTCTAACATTAGCTAATTGTGAGTGAAAAACACGTTGTTAGCAAGTAGAAACCTAGATAACAGAAAGCAAGTTTATTTTTGTAATTTTAAAATTTTTGCATTGAATTTAATTTTAAAAATTTTGTGGCACACTGTACAAAGCATAATTAAGTAAATACTGCTAGATATCTGTATCATTGCGGAGAAACTGGTTGTTTTTAAAACTGGAACTACTGTAGTGGAAAGGGTCATAGTGTGGAAGAAGAATCAAATTTTAGAATGCTGTTATCTATGAATATCGTTTTGGGCAGTGGTTTTGTGTGTGATGGCTGTTGTGCTATCAAGTTCAACCTGTCATCGGTTTGCTTAAGTGGTGGAGCAGCCACCTTTGAGAATGACCCATCATCCACTAAAAACGCTGAACTCACTCTTTCAATACACAAATGGTCTTGCCTCCTTGATCTCTCTATAGTAATCACCCTATCAGTTCATAAAAGAACCTGGAAGAGGTAGTCTTAAATCGGTCAAATTACTTTCCCAACAATGTCAAATGTGACTAATGTATGTGGACGCTCAAAAGTTGGTTAGATATAAAAAGTTCCCCTCTCTTGTTCCTGAGAGCTGTACACCGTATTTCACTCGTACATTGTTTTAGCTGCTGCATATAACCAGTTGCGCCTATCGGGACGTTATTCTTGTTTGGTTAGGGCAGCGTAAAGCAACTCTTCAAAACAACTTTGCGGTACAGGCATTCCCCTATTGTTTGAGAGTGGCACATATGCTTAGCATGATTAATAGCAGCATTCCATTCCAATTTGTGTAATTCTTTAAGGACACGGTCAACCACGCCTCATAAACCGTTAATGCCCAGCTCTCGCTACGCTCGGGCCTACGCTGTTCCTTGCAGTTTTTCAGAAACGCTTAGTAACAACGGACGAAAAAACCAAAACACCGATTGGCCACCCGAGAATTCTTTATTGTTACACCAACATATAAAAATAATGTCTTTACTAGGGTCTGTGAACAAATATTACAATAATAAATCACAAGATTACTTCTGATGGTTGTCTCCTGACTTCTTTCTGAACAGCGACCGATGAGACGATGACTGTCGTATTGATGCCTCCACGAAAATTGGGGAAGTTGATTTTGAGCAAACAACCAAGAATTGATCGTTCAATCTTCAACTACATTGGCACTCCCCGGCAAAAGAGGGATCTGTTGAGTACGTAACAATGTGATTGTACACTTTTTAGGTACTTGTATAAATTCGAGATATTGTACATAAATTTTGTTTAAATCGCTTCTTGTTGAAATATAGAGAATTTCCGTACGATTGGAAAATACACTCTGCTGTCGGAGACTTTGTCTTCTCCCTGGTCACCTCTACTTATTTGCTCCACTCACACCGTGTTGTAACTTTGGATTTATTGTAGGAGCCTACTACTTTCATCCGAAGACATTTCTACAACCGGAACACAGCAGCTACAGCAGACGCAGTCCAAACAGTCAAACCTTTTCTCTTCACGACCAATACACGTTGACTTGGATGCCATTGCGAGAACCTGGGTCACACGGACAGAGCTGAAATGGAAAACAAACAGAAAAGCCAACACACCACAAGCATACTCACAGCACAATCTCACACATCAATGACGACCTGCGCCTTCCAGTTAAAGGCATCCTCTTGAAACATCCTCATGCAACACAATCGCCACTTGCTAGAGTGACTCTTGCAGAAAGCAACGTGACCATAGCACCAACTCATGATACTCTACGCACATCCTCTCATCTACTCACTACCAATTACCACTGAAATCGCTTGTCACTCCTTCTGCCTCAATTCTAGTAACGATGACGCATGCGAGCCTCAGTCGTTTACACTCTTTCTCCCAGGCGTGTCGGACCGCAGCTAACAATTATCTCCGTGTGCATTTCATTCTCACCAATAGCCAAGCCTCTCCGGCTTATGCGACCCATCTGCTGTCCTTAACATCAATCAATTCATTCACGGATGTAGAAGACAAGAAACAACTTCAGAAGTAATCACGACGAAAATTTTAACAAAATTATGCAATAAAAACAAGGTACGAGAACAACGAGTAAACACAATGAATCCAAAAACACCAATTGATATGACACACCACACGTATATACAAACAGTACACACAAACTCGCAGTTCATGTCTTGATGGAATTCCTTTGAAGAATCGCAGGACTTACACCAGTACGCCTACAACCCTTCACAGTTTGACGATTGCAAGTTGTGGAATGTCCGGACACAAACAGAATTACCAACAGCTAGATGACAGATGGCATCAATTCAGTATATACAGTATGAACATATGTACAAAATCGCACACCAAGCACATTGGACTGCTCATTGATGCACTACTCTTTGGAGAATTGTAGGACTTACAGCAGTACGCCTACAACCCTTCTCAGGTTGACGCCCTAGGTTGGAAAATCGTTGCAGAGTTCATTTGCTAACTTCCTTCTATCAGCTATATCCTCAAATCTGAACGGAAACACGCTCATGTCATTGTATCTTAGAATATAGATGACGAACAAACACACGACGTATCTGGTCAACCAAGTGTAGAAACAGAGTAATTTACACCAAAGATAATAACATTCAAATAGTAACTTGAAACTAGAAATGCCTTTATTCGTGCAAGTCAATTTAACAATTACTCTCTCGTTTACACTTGGCTTATTCTCACTAAACTGAGCAATATCTTTCGTCTTTTCAAACGGACTGGTACTAGCATAGTCATAGCACAAGATACTTGAGTTGATGGGCGTCTGTTTCATTGTGGATGACAACACCAACGATGACTGGGTGACACAAGGTGATGAACTTAGCGGTGGATCAGAAGCTGTTGTCGCTCGGCTTTCAGAAATATGTCTACCTGCAAGACCACCACCACTGGTGTGTTTTACTATCAGCTCAGGTTTAGCACTATCATCTGATGATAAGTGGGCTACACGCTGATCAATTACACCGGCTGTCTCACAAGTATGCACACCTTCTGGAAGTGCATCTGCGTTCAATTCTACTTCACGTTGTAGTTGTACAGAACCTTTGTTCAAATTAGCAGTAGTAGGCATATCCCTCATCTCATCATGATCAACCAAAGACAAATCTGCACTATCATGATCATTATCACAATTATTCACTTTACCGTCAACTTCATCATTTTCAAACTCTTTAATAACAGAAGTAGACAATTTTGGTTCCTCCTCGCAAATCCTAAAAGGTTTTATATCTTCACTCTGACTAGTAATACTTTGTAAACTTGTGGAGTCAGAACTGCATTCTGAAGCAATAACTCTATTCTGTGACACTCTATTCAACAATGGCTTACCAGTTGCAACTACAGACTTCTTCACCGCACCGTTATCGTCACACAATTCGGAGTCAGGCCTGGAGTTTACATTCAGCTTATCACTGAACTTGCTCACTGGTTCACAGTTCACTTCTGTATGCACCTCTTGCACACGTGTAAGACACAACCGTGTTTGTCTTGCATCTTGTAACTTATCTGTTGAGGATGTACTACGAATCCTGTTACACTCACTAGGTCTATATGCATTACTAGACATCATGGAGCCTTCTCGATATCCACCTCTCTGAGGCCTACTCGTCATCAATGATTGCGTTTTGCTCTCAGACTGCTCTATTCTAGGGGTGAGATTCAATATACTGGCAAACTTGCTCATCGATTGATTGACACTATCTTTTGCTAGTTTCAGGATATCATCAAATTTTGGCTCGATACCCTCATCCTCCATACGGGAGCTTATCTTCACCCACTTCCTTTGCAGTCGAGTAGGTAGGCGTCTTGCTATTACTTCTAGTATAAAACTCGAGTTGATGTCACTCATGCGATTCATCGAAATCATTGCATTCTTGTGAATTAGCAAATTATCTAAAATCTCAGTGAGTTCCTGGGAGTCATCCTGTAATTGACCACCATTACCCTTAACAGCCTTGAATAATTTCCCTGCAATCATCGAAGGTCTTCCAAACCTTTGACGTAATATGTTCATAGCCTCGTAGTAGCCCTCTTTTGGATTCATAAACTTACAGCACTGTATAGCTCTTGAAGCATCTCCAGTGCAATACCTCATCGAATACATTAACTTCAATTCATCACTTAATAAAAAACTACTCAACATGATCTGAAACTTCTTTACAAATTGTAAATAATCAGCTGGGTTTCCATCAAAACACCATGGTTCAAATTTAGGGAGTTTGATGTTCCTATTATCCCTGGACGGCGAAACAGTAACATCAACCATGTCATGCTTCACATCAGACACATCGTTACAAGTAACAGACAAGTCACCATGACTTACTTTCCTGTTTGCATCCAAGACGCTCTGTCCCTTCTTTGACCCAGGCATTGTTGAACTTGACCCAATTCCAAAAACGTTCCAGATATTGCTTGTTCAAAGAGGACTTGACCGGCACCAGGAAAGATGAACGGTGACTATCCAAACTTTCACCAACTGTATGAATCCGCCAGAATCTGTTTCGACCGTCAGAAACTGTCAGCCACGTTTCATAAACCGTTAATGCCCAGCTCTCGCTACGCTCGGGCCTACGCTGTTCCTTGCAGTTTTTCAGAAACGCTTAGTAACAACGGACGAAAAAACCAAAACACCGATTGGCCACTCGAGAATTCTTTATTGTTACACCAACATATAAAAATAATGTCTTTACTAGGGTCTGTGAACAAATATTACAATAATAAATCACAAGATTACTTCTGATGGTTGTCTCCTGACTTCTTTCTGAACAGCGACCGATGAGACGATGACTGTCGTATTGATGCCTCCGCGAAAATTGGGGAAGTTGATTTTGAGCAAACAACCAAGAATTGATCGTTCAATCTTCAACTACATTGACAGACACAATAAACGTAACTAGCTGGCTACGGAGCTCTCACACTATTCCGTGGGGCAAAGAGTAATATGTGATCATATGAATTCGCTAAATACGCAAGATTTCTATCGAATGCTACTATAATCTATTCTTCAACTGGGAACTTCAATGCAGTTGTCTCTGTTGATGCACTTTTGAGGCGGAAACTACCTTTTTATCAATCCTTACACATAGTGAAACCTGTGCATGTTCCATTAGAAGGAGGCAGTAGTCTGACTGTATTGAGATGTGTGATCGAAATGAGCATCATATGTGAGGAATCAACCTGGCGTAGCTATTGTACGTCTATGAATCTTCGCCTTCTCTGCATTTGAGCGACATTACGACTAGAACTATCTTGTACCTGCAATCATCCTCGGAGGTGATGCGATACGTTTTTATATGCCTACCGTTCGTAATATGCTGTTATGAGAGTTGTCAGTTATACCTTAGCCGTCTGAGGTGGGAATGAATGTGAAATGAATTTCGACGTAACGGTGGTACAATCACTCTATTTTTATAAATTTCAATATCTTACGACTAATTTATTACCACTCAGAAGCCAATATTATTACCAAAACACAAAACTGCTACATTACGGGCCGCACAGTCTCACAGTTTGAGAGAGGGCTTCTTACAATGACAAGCTTCCTTGTCACAAGTTTTGGAAGAAGGCATAACTAAAATTATTGTAGAAACTTATAAATATAAACTTATTCATGAACTTCTGTCATCGTGTTACTATTATACATTATTGAATGTGAGAGAGTTGGGAATAAGTTTTGTGCTCATAGTGTTATTGGACTGAAAAATTAATAAGTGCTAGGGGAAATTTGTGAATAAGCTATCTGTTAATTTATGGAGAAGGAGACATGAGTGGGTGTAAAGAGGGAAGTTAACAATCAAGTAGTGGTTAAATAATGGGTAAACAAAGATAGGGAAAATCAATACTATTATTCGTCATGTCTGCTATTCTCCCATTTTTATTTCCTCAGGAACTGCCAGAAGCAGTTGAGAAGTTCGTGTATTTAGCTACTAGTATTTGTTGGTGGTGTGTGATGGGAGAAATTCTTACTCTTTACACAGTGGAAGCCTAGGCATCATAAGCCACCTGAAACATTTATGCCAACGGGCTGCAATATTATTGTGGTCGTTAAAGGTCAGATTTACAATTACCCTCAATGCACACAACATGTGGGACCATGTGCTGTGATGACACAATCCGATTATCTACCTATGTTGGTAATAGATTTTGCAGTAGTGACCATCGAATACTACTCTGTTCTCTGCCTTTCTCGTCACCAAATACAGGAAGCATGATATGTCGTGGTGTCCCTATTTTACAGGAATGTTACCTTTTGTCTAGATACTGTTGCTCCAAAGAAAATAGTGAAATTTAAGTAGACATCGAGCTGAATATATTCCTAGGGCACACCGCAATGTGTTAAGGAAGTTGAAGAAACAGTACTATTCCATTAGGATATATCACTACTGCTCTCAATCCACGAGTCTCTTGAATCTCCAAGCGCCTAAACAAAGTCCACACTAAGGTTTTTTGTACTTACCAAACTCCTCCAACCATACCACATTCACTCAAGTTGATTGTGACGAGTCTGAAACACCTGCCTCCTGGACTCTGCGGTCATGCGAAACTAATTCTTTACTTCTACCGGTCATCCTAAGAAGGAATCAACTTCTGTGGTATAAGCAGTCAAGAAGTGACAGTCGGCTATGATTTCTTATCGAAGCACACAACTGTTATAACGCCTGTAATCCATCTGAAACCCCAGTCAGTTGAGTTAATGATTTTAAAGGACTATTTTTTTTCTTTCACGTTCCCAGTGGAACATAGGGCCTTAAGCTAGTGGCTTGAAGTTTCTGTAGCAGTGTTTGATTTTACAGGATGGGGTTGTGTTATGTACTCGTCGCTGAATTATTGTTATGGACTGGTCGAGAAACTAATAGTCCTGACGCGAGAAGGCGGAAATCAGAAGACCACTAGGTTTGCGATGATACTTCTATTGTCCAAACACAAGGAGACGAAAATAAATGGTCTCACACCAAAGTGGTAAGTAAGTAAAGTAGTTGTAAAGTAGTTCACACAAATTGTGAATGCGAATATATATAAATAATTCAGACAAGCGTGGGAAAAATCATTAGACAGTCTTAACATGAATGGCTAATTATAATGGAGTGTCGATCCAATTATACATAGCGAATATAGCAGACATGCCAACAAACATATATGGATATATGTCACCAAGCAACGGACTGTCAACAAACACTCATATTATATATAATATAATATGGAATATACATTGTTAAAGGAGACAGGTTCATACAAGTGAAGTGGTCACAGACTAACCGAGCAAACAGAAAGAGACCAAAATGCACACGCACATAAATATATATATGTGGATACATATCAGGTTGCTAGCTCCATGCCAAACCTTTCTTCTTTACCAGCATTATTTCTGGTTAGCGAGGTAAAGGAGTGCGTCGACCGGGGATCGAACCCCGCACCATGTACATGGTCGGCGAGCGTCGTAACCTCTGTGCCACCGACGCACCTAAAGGACTATACTTCCGTGGTTTTAGAAAATACCCATCAGGACTTTTTCCACTCAAAGTTACTGACACCTTTCTGTACCACGGCAATCATTTGTTGTCCTGTGCTAATACCATTAATATATAGACTACTTGAATAGTGATATAAGTATAAAACTTGGGCTCTGTGGTAGACTATAACCCCTTAATGGGTAAGATTTTATTTTGACAAATCACATAGTGTTGTACAGTAATATTAACTGATGACGTTTCGAGCACAAGTTGTTACTCATAATCATATCAAGTTCAATTGAATAGTGATTGGAGGCCGGATAAGCTCTTCTTCTAAATGTATTCGTAGATATCTATAATGTACTGCGTTGTATGTCATACACAAAGATTCTCTTTGGCTTGGTCTGCATGTAAGCATTCCTTAGTCTGCGAGGCTCAATCCACTAGACAGTGTAGATATTCACTGGTTGCTTTTGTTATATTTTCATAGCTAATGTTACTTCTAAGAACGAATCACCCCCATATTACTTAACACTCAACTTCACTAGTACTTATGCGTGTAGCATTGCATTCAAGAGATGTTTGAAAAAAGAATACAAGCAACCTCATGAATTTTGCATTTAGTGACTGTTTCATTATCGTAGTAGAGAAAAAGACATTCGGTCAATTTATCTGTAATTATTTGATTGGCAATTAGACGTTTTTTCATTCAACTGTTTCAGATAATCTTTATTCAGCAGACAGATTTAGTTGTAAGGGAATGGCAATTAAAACTAAATGAACCTCTGAATCTGTGTAGTCATCATTTCCTTACCCCTATTTAGATAAAGCGTGCTCATAAAAACTAGATGATTCACAGAATTGGTGGTATTGTATACTTTCGGTCAGTAGACTATCTCGTGAAATTTGTGACATTTAAAAAACTCCAAGTTAGCGAGCTGTATTCAGTCCTATTACAAAATTTTAGATGTTTCAGGATATTGTAATGCAAGTATGTGCTACTTCTGATTAGTTTTATGATCTCAAAATTTTTTATCGTTTGATGTCTTATTCTTAGGAATAATCTGGGAAACTTTGTAAGCGTTCTTGAAGATTACGTGAACAACAACCGGCGTCTTCGAACTCCTAATCAGGCAAGATTTCGACAGATATCCAAGCAGGTGGTCAAGTCTACACGTGATCCTTATAAACGGTTCGTGAATCACATGGTGACTATTTTTAATTTGGATGTGAAGTTGTGCGCATATTTTCTTGTGTAATGTAGAAGTGTTTATCTCCTCTTGTTTCTAACTATTTTAGGTATTCGTAAAAACACAACTTCTCGTGCTTTTGCTAAGATTTGGGTGATTAACCACTCTAGCATCTTAAATTTGATAACTGTTGAAGATGTCCAGTTGTAAATTTTTAAAATGCATATTGTAAATCATAGGAAACATTATAATACTTAGCAAAATTGGTGATGAATGTATCCACAATTTCTCCTTATTTTAAATTATACAATCTCTATACAAGAAATTGATGTATTGGAACTAATTTCGGTAATTTCGTAAGCAGCTAAGTAGATTTTAGCATACTGCCAAGAATCAAGGAAGATAATTTAGACTTAATGGTGTCTGGAAATGACTTCTACTTCAAAAGGTCCGTGTACCGTGTGTTATGCTGTGAACTTGCTTTTCATACTATTCAACACTGCAGAAATTCCACTTTTTAAAAACAGTAATGTATATGGCTCAAGTTCAAGTGATCAGTGAAAAGGTGATACTGCATCCGTTGATTGGAAATAATCAATAGTTTATCCTGTTTCTTCCAATAGCGAAAAGCACTCAACCTAAATGCTGATTTTTTATTAAAATGATTCTATTACTTTTGCTTTGCTGATACTTTAGAATAAAGGTCGATAGAAGTGAACATGTGATAGCATATGTCACCAACTGTTGACTAGACATTTAGATTTCACGCTCACATTCACAGTGTGTAAACTAATATTTCGTATAAACATGTCAGTCACTAAATTGAAATATCAGTGACAATTTTGAGTTGTAGGAATTGGATGTTCTTTATTAGTAGTTTCAACAAACACTCTTGATAGTATTTAATTGGTGGATGGTGACTAGCAGTGGAATCCAGGATGCGCACTTTGTCCTATTTGGGACTCGTCATATGGATGTATCTGCATTTCTCAGTGAGTGGTGATGTTCCCACTGAGGCTCGAACCCAGTACTCAGTTTCAAACGCCAAAGCGTTATCCACTAGACCACTTCGGCCACGAGAGCTATCTCTTGTGCAACGGGTCATATTAATTTTATTGAATTTGAGATTTTCCCGTCGATTAATTGGACCGAAGTGCTCGGTCTGGGGTTGACATGTCGGCTTCTTGTGCAGATGCTTCGACGATGTCTGGGCATTTAGTTAGTATTTAATTGGTGGATGGTGACTAGCAGCGGAATCCAGGACGCTCATTTCCTCCTATTCGGTATTCGTCAGCTGGATATACCTGCAAGAAGCCGACATGTCAATCTGAGACGGAGCACTTCGGTCCAATCAATCGACGGGAAAATCTCTAATTCAATACAAAACTCTTGATATTATAAATGCCTTTAGACGGACTTCTCTGTGAATATTAAATTTAAATACACATAAAGATTCTGATGGTATAATACGAGAACAAGACTAACCTGCATTCCTCTTCATTTATTGACTCATGGTCTTTGTTGCTACAATAAAAGTCATGCAAACTTATGTTTAAAAATTGAATTTCCCATGTGCACATCAGAAATAAAACTGTGGTATGATGTACAGCACATGGAGTACAAGTAGCATAACTATTCTAACCAAGAAAATTGTTTAGTATACTCTAACCGTCATTTAGATTGCATGCTGCCGAACGTTTCATTTCAAAATTCTTAAGACTAAGCTATTTCGAGTGGCTGTGTACAAAATTAGTTCGATTATGGACTGAGTTTGAAGGGGTTTTGATGAAATTACTGGTATGTTTCAGGGAGTGTTTATTTCTATTTTTCAGAAGCATTTGTTTCTAATTACTACATTACTTTTCAACTAACTTATTATCCTTTATATTGCAGATTAGTATATTCCATTCTTGGAAATTGTGATCTCAGTGATAATCACTCAGGTGTTGTTTCAAACATTGATGACTTTTTGTGGATCAAGATATCTCAAGTTATTGCACAAGTTCCAGAAGAATCAACAGTTACAGCAAGGAGTAATGCGGATGATATCCTGACTTTGGGACAGCTGCAAACTTTACTATATGAAACTTACGGTATGTTTCTTTTATTCTATAATCACCGGTGTATAGGGAATATTTCCTGGTCTTAGTGTTAATTGTTGAGTATCTCAATTCCCTCTAGATAACTCAAGTGTTAACTGTTTAACAGATATCCAAGGAGAATGAAAAAAGGCCAATAAATGCTTACGAATAAGTATGAGGCTGAGTTTCTGTTTACTATAATAGTTTATCAGTGTAACTGTACAATTTCTGTTCAGTCTAATCACAGTGTGGTTAAGTCAAATTAAATTATAATCTTCGGACGTTTTGCCAGGTACTCACAGAGGCTTAATGGTCTACGAGCTCGCTTTGAAATCGGAAGGGGGCTGGGTTCGAACCCCTGTGGGTGTGTACCGATGAAGAGTTCAAAACTAGGACGAAACAGCTGTTCAGTACTTCAAGATGGTTCCCCAATGGTTCTATAACCAGTGTCAGCTGATGATGAAATCCTAAAACCTACAAAACAGTTTGCATAGAAGATTGCGTTTGAGTCTACTTGTTATTCACAAATTAAGGGCATACTTTTATGACGTTGTTGTGTTTTCTTAGCTGGATGGTTATTTTGTGAAGCTTTCATTGCCCTACTAGGCAAAATGTTGCACAACTACGTCAAAATCACCCACCTGAGCTACAAATCTCCATTATGTCTAATTAAGGACATACATTTATAATAAACAGCGGCTACTCGCTTTTTCTGATTCATTTCACTAGTAGATTTACAAGACCATAGATTACCAGGGTATCGACATTTTACTCCCTAGTATTGGCTGTAGTAGTGCGAAATGCTCGAATTGACTATGCTGACGTAAAGAGTATGTGTATGTATTAGGGATTTACTACAGTATTATCACCTTCACGTTTTGTCATAGGAAGGTTCTAATGCGTGTGATTAAGAAAATTTTTAACATCTGAAAATTACAATTCTTTTGCTTTTGAAGATTTATTTTATGCCTGGTACCACTTGAAGAAATTACACTCAATATTTTAGGTGAAGTGCATTTCGACGCATGGTCTCAGCCATTCGTCTATTTCAAAATTTTATTTCTTACACAACAATATGAGGCCGCTCTTGGATTTCTTAGTCGTTTTGAGCTATTCCGGTGTCATGCAGTTCATATTGCTTTGGCCCTGAAGGACCTACATATGCTGTTAATTCCTAATAGCATTCAGTCATCACTTGGTAAGTCTCACAGATTTTCACCCATATATATATATATATATTAATGGATTAATGTGTGTTTAGCGTACACCATTAACCCATTAATGATGCAAGTTAAAATAAAACACGAATAACTTTTGCTTAGATGTATTGAGATTTCGTCGGTTAATAACTCACCAAATTGGTGAGTACCTACATATAATTATTGAACTCATTGGTGGTAATCAGAACAGTATTATACAGGCAAATAAAAGTTGGTATATGGGAGTTCAGAAGCGCACCGGAAATCTCTTCAAATTGTGACTGAAATTCTGGGAGCATCTATTGCCCATAGGACTAGATTTGGCTGATCAAAATCAACTGAGAGAGCTCCAGTAATCATCCAATCGATACACTCACGGTTAAGTTCGAAATATAATTTTATTTCAGCTGTTTTTAAGTTGGTGATCGCGTAACCTTGATGTTAACAAGTCATATTGACTAAGCGATACCCTCTGGAGTTATTATATTATGGTTTAGAAGATAAGAGCAGTGTGAGCATTACGCGCACCCATCTGTACATCTATTATCACGAAAGAAACTACTGAGATTTACGAACTCTTTTTAAACATTTCCTAAAGTTCGGTAGGAGTACATGTCATCAATACGATTTTGTCGTGAAGCAAGAGTTATAGTTTAAGGGAAAGAAAAATAATCTCACAAATGAAAGATAACACATTTTGTCAGGATTTTGATGTAAAATTACTACTAGATTGTGCGTATCTGTCATAAACTAAGAAGTCTTTCCCAAGTACCTTTAGCATTAAGTTGAATAAAAAGCGTAAGGGATCTAGGAGCATTGAATGGTATTTCTTGACTTTAGCACTAACGTGGGTACCTAGTACGGCCTTTAGCAAGGTGGTGGACGTGCCAGACCTTCATTTCAATGGAAAACACTTCTAAAACAGTTCTTCTAATACAGTTCATCAAACACCACCTCCGTGAATCTCTACTTATATAAAAACATTTGCTCGCTATATCAGGGTATAATTGTATATTAGGCAAGAATCCACTAGTTGTAAGCATAACACAGTGATTATGAGAATAAACATAGAAATGACCATTGTTGTTAGGTCTTTCTCATTAATACTGATTCATTTCTAAGATTCTCTGACTTTCATATGTGCCTTCATTTACACCTGTTGCATATATCACTTATAGGTCTTTTGTAAAAACGGTTGTCTGCCCAAATGCACTTTTCAGGAATTCCAAATTTATTTGCAGAATCTTTCCAATAAGGCTATAAACATTTACCCGTGATTTTAACTGATTCATTCAATATAATTGGAGATTAAATTTCATGACAGTTACTATGCTGAAGAAAAGTTAGTGTGTATATAACAAGCTCAAATCCTATTTATTTATACAGAGTTTGAAAGTATTCCTTAATCAGTTTGATGAATGCTAATTAACTCTTATTTTTTTGTGTTCAGTGAGTTGCGATGATTGTGATCCTAAAGGAGTACGGCGACTTAATTTGGTTCGTTTAATTATGTTGTATACGAGAAAATTTGAAGTCACGGAACCCGAGAAAGCACTCATGTACTATTACATGCTTACCGACATCCCAAATACTGCCGAGCAATCACTCGAAGAAGAATCCAATACATCTATTATCAGTGGTTTACATAACATGTCTTTTGACCGTGTCACCCTTAAAAGTCAAAATTTGTTTGTCCGATGTGTGTGTGAACTGGCTTTGGCTACTAAAGAAGTAAGATATAATTGCTATTATTCAATGCAGTGTAACTATTTAGTGAGTGGCTAGGTAACCCAATGGGTAACATTTTGAAGCGATAAATTATAGATCTGAGTCTCTCTGACTAATGTGGGTGCATTCAGATAACGAGTCACAGATAAGACGAAATATGCCTACTGGATAACACTACCCCTCACATTTGACCAAGTAACCTAATGAATCATAGTCTAACTTCTTGGTCAACCCAATATAAGTTATTATTAAGTAGTGTCAATGCATGAGAATATTTATAGTTCAGCAGTTTTTTTAAAGGCTGTTTTAAAGAATTATTTCTAGTATTCTCCTCACGTTTCGAAAAAAAATTTTAGTAGATGAATAGGTGTATCGGCTTTCAAAGCGGTTATATGCGTGTACAAAATGAGTTCTGTCTGTCTGTTTTCGACATAGAACTTTGCACAAATGTGCGGAAGTTCAAGTCGCCACATTCCGTGTAGCACGCGAAGCAAGAGAAGAAAGTACACATACATGTGTTTGCAGTTTTTTCTTTGTTAAGCAAATCTGTTGGCTAGGGGGTAAATCCAGTGAGTTAAAATGTAGTTCTTGGCATATCCGAAACTAGCTTAGTGGTTTCATATTTTGATTCAAAATACCACTGTCTGAGGTATTCAGCACCACTTTGTTTGTTTACTGCGATGGGATGGCTATTTTACTGCAACGGTTATTTAAGCTTTCAAATAAACTTGCCTATTGCAAATTAATTTTATTTAAATTGTAACTTGTTATGATGAAGGATACTATAGCGTAATGTCGATGTTTTTTTGCATCATGCAGCTTGAACTCTGCTGAGATTTCAAATCTTGACCCATAATATAAGGTTTACTAGCTTTAAATCACGACTGTCGCTAAGGATGTCTTATGCAATTTCTGCTTAGTTCTTTATGTGCAGATCGTAGTCCGAAATAGGGGTTGTTTGATTTCGAATACCTTATCGTCTAAAATGAATATATGTAATGTATTATCTGATGTTCATAACAAACACCTGTTAATTCTGCAGTGTCCCTAAAGATGCGAATTTCTATAAGAACTAAGCCATAGGAGAAACGAATAAAATTACATTGGGAAATGTTGGATTTCGGTAACGATAGCAAATCTATTGGGAACAACTTGCAGGAGTGTAAGGTTTTTCTTGTTTATTAGCTCCTCAGTACACTGTATTTTTGAAACTTTCCGAATATGGAACCAAGACCGGCAGGTTTCTTGGCAGTTTGTGTCTAATACACATACTGAAGTCATTGCTCTAACTCCTAGTAAACCAAGACCACAATTTTGTATTTAAGCATGTATTCTAACTGTAAGTGAAACCAGCATTCCTTTTTAAAACGAAATCTAGCACCATAGTGGGCATCAACAACAATTTGATTTATTAGTTTGCAGATTAAGGCCAAATAAATTACTCAGGTAGACTATTTTAAATATCTTTTTATATATTTGACAGTATGTAATAAATAACTGATCATTTGCTTTGTTTTTCATTTCAAAATTCATTTTCCAATTACAGCTAGATTTAATTTTAGGCTCTGTGGGCGAAAACAATATTCGGAAAGTGAGTTTAGAGTCACATAGACTCATTTTATTTCGTACTAAGGTTATTGATTCTAGCAAGACTTATGCAACCACTCGTATGAGCGTTATTATTATTATACGCCAAACAGTATGTAAACTTATTTTGGGTTCAACAATCACGTAGCATTAAACAGCAACTGAAGCTCAACACAAATGATGAAGTAAAGAAAACTAGAGGCCTAGCCGTGAGTTTGGTGGTCGCATGATCACTGGAGATCCCTTAGTCGATTTTGAATAGGCGAATCCAATCTTACTGATTGAAGAAGTAACAGTAGCTTGTACAAGACATGGTATAAATCTGTGGCGTCCTTGATGGTATGCTGCGCGATAGAGATACACATGCCCTCAGTGTAGTACCGGGTAGACAAAGAGAGAGAGAGAGAGAGAACGGAAATGAATGATTGTGTGCTCCATATTATCAGGCTCAGAATATGCTGTAATGTAATGTTTCAGATACTTTCACAGTTCAGTTCTGCATCCAGTGCAACACCTACTTTCAGCATCTGCTGCCTAATGGCAAATTACGTTTATTTTGTGACAGTTCTATTTGCCGATAATTTATTTGACATGTAGTAAGGAGGAATTGAGCTCACTTCAATAGAAAATATGCGTTGAATTTTATCCTTACAGTCACATTCACTGATAAGCGTGGAATGCTGTTCAGTTTTTGTTACACTCGAAGAACACAGACAGAAATGGTCAAATACACGTTAATACTCCAATGGATAGGTGCATTTGTGGTAGGAAAGAGAATTACAAAGTAAAGATTGACGAAATGCCTCGAATTGGGAAGTGAATAATTTAATTGTCTATTGTTGCTTACCATTGTACCTCAGTCTTATTTACTGTGTTAGCTCTTCGCTGGCGGCATACCGGGAAAGCTATCTGATGTTTCGCTTCCCACAGCTGTGTATTACAAGCGTAAAGTATGATAGAGTGGAGTGGTGTGTTACCTGGATTCTTAGTATAGAATTCCTTAAGAGTGCAGTTTACTGCACCAGCAATCTGCAAATGAGAGTTCAGTTCTTGAGAACAGACTGTTTCTCACCACCTATTGGAAAGAGTGATTCGAGTAAATTAGGGTGAAAATGCTGTTCACCGTTTTATTAGAAATGATTAGTTTTGATAGGAAGACTTTTCGGTCCGTTGGGTTGGATTGGTGGGACGTGTTAGTTCAGTGACTACTTGATGCTGTACTCCTAGCTAGACAGATACTACAAAATTAATAATGTATTCGTCAAGTTTGACTTAGATTTGGTTTCCACGCTGCTAATAAAGCATGAAGTTACTAACGGAATATGCATACCATGAGATCCTTCTGGTTTTGTGAGCTGCAGCTTTCTTTATTGTGTTTCGCTACTGTTTAAGAGTTGCAGGCTAGTAATAATGAGGCTCTCTTCATTTAGTACATAGAAAAAGGTAGCGTTGATAAGTGTGAGATCTGTACAAGTTTCGGTTTGAAGTTAACGTTAGTTAGAAAATTCCAGTTAGTATGGCTGGGCTTTGTCTCAGATACGTAAGATTCTAGCATGTTTCTGATTTACCTTAATAAATACTTCCGACAGAACAGTCCCAAATATGAAGTTTAAACTAAATTGCTCACTTCATACGTGCATCTTGAACGCAAGGCTACGGGGGTGAATTGGGTGTATAACAAAGACATAAGAAGCCTACTTCCGTGTTTAAGTGCTCGTTTCTAATTGCTTTTCAGAGCATTCCACCTATGTGATTGTTTTTGTTTCCCGGTTTCCCTCGTCATATGTAGATGTAATATCATTTCAGCGTTTGAATTGTAATGGTTGTTGTTATTAAAGTCATTGACATTTTCCCCTCAGTTTGATTATCAGGTATCGGACAGACCTAATTTTTTTTCAAATCATTTTTTGTGTTGTTTTCGTTTTAGCCTGGTGCAATCGATCGTTTCTGCAAGTCGATAGAATTTCGGAAGGAACTTTTGCGTACTGTTGCTCGCGTTTTTGAATCTAATGGTCAGGTCATCGAAGCAATCCATGTATTTATGGTGGCGGCCTCGTGTGGTGATCCAAAACCTGACGTATTGGTTGCTGTGACACTACTGAATACTCTACTATCGGGCGTGGTTGTAACTTCAAACCTTGGCAGCACACTAATAACGCAATGTCGACTGAGGGGGGAAATAGATCGAAGCTTGGTTTTACGACTGGCAACTGAGGTACGAAGCTTATCGTTTATTTATTTCGAACCTATATTGTTCAAATTACACTAGTGTCATCAAAATTTTACTGTACTATCCATCAAACTTAAAGGAAACTTATTTGTGCTTTTTTATTTTCTTGCTGAATAGCTTGCTAATAAAGTCCGCCGCCTGGGTTTATCAAACAACAATAATCAATTTCAGTCTGATGCTGAAACGAACACATGGACAACACTATTCTATCTGCTTGATCTTGCTACTTTCTTCGACCTAGTCGATGCAGAAAGATGGCAGGCTGCAATTGACCATATAGATCAATTGAGTTTATTCCCGTCTAGCTCACAACCGTCACAAGTAGAGTCTTGTGTGGCACGATTTTCTCAACTTCCAGATCTAGTGCGTCGGCCAATCCCTTGGGCATTAGACGCCCTGATGCGCTGTTTTTCAGCTAAAACTTGTCGAACATCCAGAAAGAGGTTGGTCAACTAAATGCTTTGTGGTTATGTTCATTATAATTATTTGATATATATAATTATTGTCTTTCTCTTTTATTTGCATACTTTTAGTAATGCGGCGAGTGCTGATTGGGATTCTAAGATGGCTACTCCTGAAATCCGAGCCAGAGCAAAAGCTTTGATAGCGTTTGTTGGCCGCATTCCACATAGACTACCAAGTGAAATATATGCTGGTCTCACACGAATGGATATGGAAATTATATAATTATAACTTAAGATAGCTTTTATCAGATATGTGAATTTCCATTCTATTTAAAGATGTATCGTGTTGCCAGTAATGTCTTTTGCTATGGCTCCGTATCATTTATGAAATAAAATCTTCAGAAAAATACGAATTTTCAAGTAACTAAGGGTTTTCTTAAGGTCCAAAGGTAGAGCATTGCATACATTTTTGTATAAGTACATGCAAAAATCAAAGTTAAAACAGGCAAATTAAAAACATAAAAATCCCCAAAAGGGTCTTCAAAAGCACGAAGACAAAATAAGTGATATTAATTGAGGGATGAAAGAACAAATATAAACCTATATGTACAAAAGATGGGAAATAAGAATATTTAAAGTCATAATAAATTAGTTTCTAAGAGGATTTACGAGTACAAACGCTTAGAAATAATTAATTTTTCAAATAGGTTCCAGTATCTGTATCATAGGGATAAAAACTGTGTACGCATTAGCTAACACAGATATTAAGCGGACGTATAAAAACAACAATGCAGGCACGTTTTAAAAATGTACACTTTTGAGATATTGAACGTTTAATTACCGATGTGATGGGCCGACAGCAGTAATACTTAATGCGGTCGAGCACACTGTGAGGAAACACTTTCTATATGATTTGTGTGGAAACGATTCGCAATTGAATGAGGTAATGGTCGGGACTGCAAGTTGCTGCTAGTATACTGTTGAGCATATGGATCAGGTCTTAAATTAGTTTCTTCTGGACGAGTACTTGCTAATGGTGTAGTTTGTTGGATTCTTCGATGATAGAGTGGTCCTTTGGACTCCATGTACCTTCTAACATAATCTGTAACTCTAGAGCAAACAGCTGGAGGGATTTCAGGAGTTAAAACTGTTGAAAATAAGGTATTTGCCGACTGAGTTTGATGGAACTTTTGAATCTCCTTCAAAATAACAGCTTGAGCCAACTAAAAGAAAGCATGAGTAAAATAGGTGAAAATTCAATCAGTTTAGATTATTATGGATTTAAAGCTAACTGTATAGGTCATTTAAGCTTGGTGTTTATTTTACTACAAAGTGAACTTAGCTTACACTAAGATATACGGACCTCTAAATACATTGTAACACCATGTAACTAGGTTTTTTCAAATGAGAATAAGTAAACAAAGGATTACCTTTTTCGTCAAATAGTATAAGTCTTCATCATTTACGATACGACCAAGCTTACATCGAGCATCACGAAAATTGCGCAGTATATTGTGTACAAGAGTAAACAGCTAGAAATCAGAACATAAATACATAAACGTTTTAGCTGAAATAAGTGGGTAAGCTGAAAAATCTTTTGTCATTTTGTTCGTAGTATAGCTAACACTTTGATTTCTCTAAATTTGCCGATGCATTGTCATACGAGAATAATTTGAGGATTGTTACACAAACCCTATTTATTGTTACGAACTTCACGAGGCAGGTTTTCGCCAGTTGACATTTGAATCAACACCTAATCTACCGACTAGTTTTATTGTTTCAGGCTTGACTGACAATGCTATCTAGTGTTCTAGGCTCAGTAATCATGCGCATGTAAAGTGGTGCTCGGTAAAAATAAACACGAAATACCAGGCGGGCTTTAGATCAGATAGGGAAGAGTATTGATTATCTCTTCACTTTTCAACAGATTGACTTGTTAACACAGAATAGTCTTATTGACTTAGGATATGGGGATGATTTTTCCCCTACTAGGTGGAGACGCTGATAAAATGCAGTCTTCTAAGCACCTTGGGTAGAAATTCTCGAAAGTCTGGTATGCGACTGACTCCTGCAGAATGTAAAATGATGCTGCCTGACTGGAATACCGCAAATCCCAGCTTAGAGATAGAGTGGTGGTGTGTTGACTGCTTCATATTTCACCTTATCATTTTAAGTTCTTTTGAATATTTTTGCTTTCTTATGTTTGCCTTTGTGTGCTACATGGAGTGTGTACTGTTACACTTCTGTGCTAAGTTGGAAGCCAATCAGTCGAATAGGAATAAATCGCTGTACAAGTACTAGTTGGTATTTGAATGATAAAACTGGATATAATATAATGTATACAAAGTCATTAAAAAAAAATAAAAACTGACCTCGATTGCGAAGCCTTGCTCAGAAACACCTTGAGGAGCATCTGGTCTACCCGCCAATTCATGCAGAAGGTCAATGCACTGACGTTCGAGTATTCGTTGACGAACACGACTGTACATCTGCATGCACGAAAAATAATTGGGAAATCCAAATATAAAATTGTACTTCAAATGCCTATCAACTATTGGTGATAGTGCATTAGGGGATGATCTAACTTAATTTATTCTTCTCGTTCGAATTAACTGAGCAGTAACAGCCATCACAAAGATAAATAGTATTACCTCTTAATCACAATACTGGAAATACGAACTAATCAAATATATTATTAAGGATAAGTTTCAGATCCAGCTTTACTTACCTCTTTCTTAACTGTTCAACTGCTTATATCAAAGTCAGAAAATCTAGTCAAAGAGTGTGGTGACTCTGAATTGAAATTATTTATGATACTACTACTAATACACGAAGACATACTCAGATTAAAAGTTACATTTAGTATATATCCACAAGGAGCACAAAACGAATCGATATATGTAAGGTGTAGTTTACGACAGAGGGGTTTCATGAGACATTTTCCGGATGACATTTCCGTACTACACTTGTACGAGAAGTCGATGATAAGGAAACAGTTTTCCACTTATACTATAATATTCAATATAGTGAAGTAATGCAAACTGCCTTTCTTCCTTTAATATATAGTCCTAGTGCCAAAATGTAGATTTTGATATGATAGTTCGGTAAAAAAAGGCCGTTTAATATGACTACTTTACAGATGCAGATTTCATTTTATCAAACACGAAAGCATTTCACATTATTAAGCATACAGTATATGTAATCTACACGATATCACAGCCTGACAGTGCTTCAGATATGGACTAATTACCAAAAGAATTATGTACAAAGTGAAATTTATTCATACACTTGTAAAAACACAACACCACAACTTACAGCTTCAATTTCTTCATGTGTCACAGCAAACCTTGACGCACACCCCCAATTGTATGGAGCTTCCGGATCATCTTCACCAGTTTCTCCCAAAAGTGTGTCAGTTGGATCTGCATCCCATGGGTATACAGGAGGGTCCCATCGAGTTTGTCTAGTACGGACATGGTAGTAGTAATATGCATATGTAGCAGAACTATCGGCTGTATCTTCGCCTTCTGTAGAGCGTTTCATATTTGGAGCTCTTTGCCACCCGGGAGGTAACGGGCTTGTACCATCTTTAGATAAGTGGAGATGTAATGCGGGTAATGGTTGTCTTTCAACAGACTGAGCACGTCTATACTGCCTTAGCTGTGCACAGCGTTCCTGCAAACGAAAGCAAATACACAAGACTATCATGCTAGAGTTATACGGTTGTAAGCATTTCAAAATGAAATCGACGATGTGGGCGATGAAGCGAAAATGTTTCGAAATTCAGCAATAGAAAGTATTTTCAAGTGTAGACGCGTTTCACAATTTTTAAATCCGTGATATTTAGTAAGCAGTAGTTTTGCAGAAAGATTATTGGAAAAAATCCTCAGTAATTTCAGATGTAGCTCACTGGTTTCAGCACTCGTTTTACATGCAACACGTCTCACTGTAGAAAAACGAACTCTGAGTGATTAGAGTTGGACTTCATAGTCAATTCCATTAACCCTGTGTACCGGGGTTGCCTTATTTATTTTTAAATACAGAGTCGTTGATAGGTCCCACCAATCACAGCTAACCAGCTGCTGCTTATATTTAATATCTACTTTAAACAATATTCATGTATTCACAACCGAATTGATGACTTTGATTAAAAGAACTTTCCTTTACTGAAACCGTATTATATTTCTCTCTCTGCATGTATGTAATCTGAGTAGTTCACAATATCCTGCAATATTTCTTTGTGGATTTGAGTCTATGCTCTTGTTATTTAGTGACCTAGAGGCCACTTATTTTCTGCGTAAGTATCCCACAAGAATGAAATACATTTGAGGCGGCACTGTTTGTAGCAGAACATATAGAAAAAATCTGCAAATATTCATGTTGTAGAATCTAGAAAGACAACTGAGGGAGAAGATGGCAAAATTTAAAAAGTCTGTATGAAAGTGTACTCAGATTAAAAGTTACATTTTGTATATATCCACAAGGAGCACAAAACAAATCGATATTTGTAAGGTGTAGTTTACGACAGAAGGGTTTCATGAGACATTTTCCGGATGACTTATTTACTTACTGCACTTGTACGAGAAGTCGATGATAAGGAAACTTAGTTTTCCACTCATAATTACATTCGATATCGAAAAAAATTATTCTAAATACATTACAATAAGATATTCATCTATATTTGAAAAACACACAAATTTCCAAATTAAAGCCTTATAACAGTCACCTACCTTGGCAGCTGTACTCAATTCTAATCCGGCAGAGACAGCACTGAGTGATGACGTAGCAGGTGGAGATGGGTGTCTTTGCAAAGCAAGAAAAGTAGTAAGCGCATAACTGAAATAATTAGATATGTAGAAAAAATTTCATTCAAAAAACGGAGCTTGAAAATTTTGTAACTGAAATGTGAGTAGTTCAATTTATGTGTTAGCAGGTTGTATCTAAATCATTCAGTGACAGAAGTTGGCATTCATGGGACAGTAAGTAAGTGGTCGAAACCTGAAGGTCATAGGTTTGATCTCCTGAAGGATTTATGGGTGCGTACTGATGAAGAATCCCAGACTGGGACGAACAACTGTCTAGTACTTCCTGCTTTTTACTAACTCAGTTTACTAACTGAGATTGAACTTTGAAGCAAGCGAATCCCTGGAAACAAACACTTGGAAACAATTAACCACATGTGGAATATTCCTGTTGATATTAAAGGAAGATGACTCATTCCGAATTCCTTTCCCCCACTGAGTTTTAAGACAGTCAGGTAATAAGGATAGCTTTCACCCAGTGTATTTTATTGCCAAGTGGCTATGCTTGCATGTTACATCGATTCATTAACTTTGCTAATTCTTCATAGACTATTCCTGGCGGTTTTCCTTTCCTCCGGAGAGATCAAAATTATATAATAAGTCTTGTTTATTTTAGTGGCATTTTGTTCTAATGATCAACAGCTGCACTGCCATTGTTCCAACAAGCTGGAAACTTTTGCAAATTGTATACTTGGGAAGAGAAATAAAAAACCATGAACTTTTCTACTTCTGCTTCCATTATGTAGATCAAGAAAAATACGTAACACCGTTGAGAATGTTTGTATGGTGTGTGAACTAAACACAGCAGGGCTTATGAAGCCGCACAAATTAAAACCTTGACATATGTAAAGTCGCCATCGTCGAAGCATCTCCACAACAAGCCGACATGTCAACCTGAGACAGAGCACTTCGGTCCAATCAATCGACGGGAAAATATCAAATTCAATTAAATACGTAACCGTTGATAGAAACCTATATGTTTAGCAATAAAGATATCTCGTCATCTCTAATTGTGCGTCGGTGGCACAATGGTTAGGACTCTCGACGACCATGCACATGGTCCGGGGTTCGAGCCCACACCGGCGCACACCAGATATCTATGGTCGGCCTGCGAGATTCGGGCTACCGATATCCATGCTGAAAATTCCATACTTGTACCAAAAATACAGTGTGGAATCAAGCTGTTACTAAAAAAAAACTATGTCACCTTTGTGCAATACTTGAATCTAACTGGTTGAAAAGTTGAGATGGAGAAAATGGTCGTACAGCAGCATATGGAGAAATACAACCAGGTTCCACTATTTTGGGTGAGGACATCGGCGTTCGACTGAATCTGGAAATCATATCAATTGGCGCACACTCAGAGTCATCAACCGTGAGGTCCACTCCAGGGACATAAATCGCAGAAGTACGAACATCTTCTTGAATAAGGAGACTTCCTTTATTAGTTCCGCGCAAATCGTCCATAAGACCAGTCAAAAGCGAATTCTGCTTAGAGACTAAATAGGGATAAAGTGAGAAAACCTCTGAAAATATTTTAAAAATTATACATTCCATAAAACATTATAATACCTGGGAAATGAGGAGGTAAAATAGACAAGTTATGACTGCCATCAATTAAAGACTATAAATATAGCCGATGATCTTGAAAAATGTTAATAACTCAAGCTGGAATAATTATATTTGTAAATATCTTCGCTTAAGATTATAATATTCTTCTTTGTTATGTGGAATTAGATAATAGTTTGATCTATTTTTTATTTTTGATTTACAGCTTGATTCCACACTGTATTTTTGGTACAAGTATGGAATTTTCAGCATGGATATCGGTAGCCCAAATTTTGCAGGCCGACCATAGATATCAGGTGTGCGCCGGCGTGGGCTCGAACCCCGGACCATGTGCATGGTCGTCGAGAGTCCTAACCACTGTGCCACCGACGCATACTTATGTACATATATACGACTGTGCACCTTTATAGGATGAAATCATCGAAAAGATATTTTCGCTGAACTTCTTGTTCTTTTCTCTCTAATGTTCTAGTATGTAATTTCTACGATAAGAAGATGAAATTCTGGGTGTTTTAAACATACTGAATAAAACCTGGGAACGTATATATTTTTTCTCACAATATCCATTTATTTACAACACCATATTCAGATAGAGAAAGTTGTACTTCAACCTACTAATAATGACATCTAAGATGGTGTACTGGGATGTTATCAGAAAGTGGTATCGGATTTAAAATGACACAACCATGGATATCAGATTAGGCATACATAAGAGTGCAAGAAAATTCCCCTGGTACCTCTTCATAATATAGTATACTGCCAAAATTATAAGTATTTCTTGATTAGGTAAATCTCAGTCACTATAGAAAATTTCAATATATATTTATTCCGAAAAGATGACAGTAGCACAAATTATTTAGTGGTAGTGATTTAGACATATATATGATGAGGATTGGGCACTTTTCGAACTGGCGACAAAAATGAATAGTTAAGACATGAACATAATCACTATAGTTACCTGAAATTACTGAGTTGGCGGATGAAGAATTCGGAGACACAGCCGATGAGGGAGCCTGATATTTACTGAGATCATGTGGAGAAAACAAAGGTCCGAGGCCTTCGTTTTCTGATTTTTTGGATAATTCCCACGTTCCGTCTTGATTCAATAGCATGATGGATGATGAATATGGCACAGACGCAACATGTGATTTATAGTCCGTGAAAGGGTTATTTGCCGATGTCCCAAGGGAGTCTGCAACGAGCTCGGACTCGGAAGCTATTTCGGATGCTGAAATCAAAAATGAGTTTTCCACTTTTGACGCTGCCGACCTGCTACGTGGACTTATATTTGAACCAGTTAATTTGTAATATGGAGTATCATGTCGACTATGAGAGGGTTCCGCATACAGTTTTTGAACTCGACACTTCTTTTTAGCATTAGTATTTGCACTCAGATGATGTAACTCAATAGGTCGCTTGCAGGTCGTTTTAATCATCGACATTACGTTTACTTCATCCGGGATTTGGATGGAAACTTGAGGAGGCCAGTGACTTTCCCACAGATGGACTTTCCGTCGAAAGGGGAGTCGCCGTCTTTCATTGTATTTTCAACATTTCGATCGCTATTTGAGTTAGGGTAACTATGCATGTTTAGGTCAAGCTGATCATAATTACTTGCCTGAATATCTTTTAAAGCAGCAGTATACAGTTGTTCCTCAACTTCATCACTCAGGTTTTTGAAATGTATCAAACTATAGGTAGTATTTTTACCACTTAGGCTGACACTCCCATTTCTTCTATGTCTACTACGCATTAGCAAATAAGTAGCTCATGCGATCAAAACACGCGCTGACCAAAACTGAGAAATCCTGTCACTTATTTTCAGCTATACAATAAGAAAAAATTCTACATTATCTTTTTGGACTTTCGTAGCATCTGTGTTTTTTTCGACATGACATTGTTGATTTGTTTATAAGAATAGGGCGGCAAGTTTCGATTCACAAAATTCTGCATCCGATAGAACTATGGCCGCGGATCTAGCGTCTCACCAACTCGTTGGGTTTGTTACGAAAATGTATCCTACTTTTGGATATATTAATAACGAAATATTCTTTCAAAGAAAGTAAGTCAACGGATTTGGGTTGATTGATGTTCCAAGGTGTGTCATAGGCCCAATGGTGGAGGTGGGTGACAACGTAGCAGCAAGCGCGATTTATCAACCTCACATGCCGATTAAGTGGAGTGCAGAGAAAGTTTGGCGTGTAGAACATTCTGGAAGGTCCAGAGAAAAGGAAGAGGCTAGTATCTGGAAAGGTCAATCACATTCTCCAAGGGAAAATTATAGCAAATCCACTTCTCATGAAAGAGATGTACGTCCGGGTCTTAACGATCAACGGCGAGTAGAAAAGCGTTCACATATTACTGAAAGGTAAAGTGTCATCAATGTCTAAATTTCCGCTAGGGAGGGAGGTCGTTCCTTGAAATCACCAGTTCGGGAGAGGCGTAAATCACCTGCAGACACTACTCACCACTCTTCCCCTCTATCTGATGTTCATTCTAGAACTGCAATTGGCTCCAAACGTATGCTGAACGTGAAAGAGTTTCTTTTCGCGGACCTGAAAAGACGCTTTCCGACTTGTCTTCCTCCTGTTGATCTCTATCGTGTTAGGTGCAGTTGGCAAGACTCATTCCCGTTACTTAAACCATTTCAGCCAGAATATTCAACAACGTACCAGGTAATATTTTTTTCGCTTCTCTTTTTATACAGCCCAAACTGTGTTGACCCAAATTATGTATTCATGAGGTCTAGTTGTTTGTGTTGCAACGAAGCTGTGACAACATTCAAGCATTCATTAAATTTCACCAGGTTGCCGTGTTTTCCTACTATTCTAACAGTTGTTAAGTTTCAGTATATTACTTGTCTTAAAGTACACTCACGATTATAGTTAATTCACCAAACAAGTAATCGTTTGGGAAAGTTAGTACAGATGAACAAGACCGAACGTAGGAGGCACTATCCCATGAAGTTACGATACGTCTAGCTGGTGACTCAGTAGCCTACGTACACCAAAAGCTCAACAGCAAATTTGAAACCTGACCGTGGGTTTAGCAATCGGATAATCAGTAGAGATCCCTTAGTCGATTTTGAATAGGCGAATCCAGTCTTACTGATTGAAGAAGTAACAGTAGCTTGTACAAGACATGGTATAAATCTGTGGCGTCCTTGATGGTATGCTGCGCGATAGAGATACACATGCCCTCAGTGTAGTACCGGGTAGACAAAGAGAGAGAGAGAGAGAGAACGGAAATGAATGATTGTGTGCTCCATATTATCAGGCTCAGAATATGCTGTAATGTAATGTTTCAGATACTTTCACAGTTCAGTTCTGCATCCAGTGCAACACCTACTTTCAGCATCTGCTGCCTAATGGCAAATTACGTTTATTTTGTGACAGTTCTATTTGCCGATAATTTATTTGACATGTAGTAAGGAGGAATTGAGCTCACTTCAATAGAAAATATGCGTTGAATTTTATCCTTACAGTCACATTCACTGATAAGCGTGGAATGCTGTTCAGTTTTTGTTACACTCGAAGAACACAGACAGAAATGGTCAAATACACGTTAATACTCCAATGGATAGGTGCATTTGTGGTAGGAAAGAGAATTACAAAGTAAAGATTGACGAAATGCCTCGAATTGGGAAGTGAATAATTTAATTGTCTATTGTTGCTTACCATTGTACCTCAGTCTTATTTACTGTGTTAGCTCTTCGCTGGCGGCATACCGGGAAAGCTATCTGATGTTTCGCTTCCCACAGCTGTGTATTACAAGCGTAAAGTATGATAGAGTGGAGTGGTGTGTTACCTGGATTCTTAGTATAGAATTCCTTAAGAGTGCAGTTTACTGCACCAGCAATCTGCAAATGAGAGTTCAGTTCTTGAGAACAGACTGTTTCTCACCACCTATTGGAAAGAGTGATTCGAGTAAATTAGGGTGAAAATGCTGTTCACCGTTTTATTAGAAATGATTAGTTTTGATAGGAAGACTTTTCGGTCCGTTGGGTTGGATTGGTGGGACGTGTTAGTTCAGTGACTACTTGATGCTGTACTCCTAGCTAGACAGATACTACAAAATTAATAATGTATTCGTCAAGTTTGACTTAGATTTGGTTTCCACGCTGCTAATAAAGCATGAAGTTACTAACGGAATATGCATACCATGAGATCCTTCTGGTTTTGTGAGCTGCAGCTTTCTTTATTGTGTTTCGCTACTGTTTAAGAGTTGCAGGCTAGTAATAATGAGGCTCTCTTCATTTAGTACATAGAAAAAGGTAGCGTTGATAAGTGTGAGATCTGTACAAGTTTCGGTTTGAAGTTAACGTTAGTTAGAAAATTCCAGTTAGTATGGCTGGGCTTTGTCTCAGATACGTAAGATTCTAGCATGTTTCTGATTTACCTTAATAAATACTTCCGACAGAACAGTCCCAAATATGAAGTTTAAACTAAATTGCTCACTTCATACGTGCATCTTGAACGCAAGGCTACGGGGGTGAATTGGGTGTATAACAAAGACATAAGAAGCCTACTTCCGTGTTTAAGTGCTCGTTTCTAATTGCTTTTCGGAGCATTCCACCTATGTGATTGTTTTTGTTTCCCGGTTTCCCTCGTCATATGTAGATGTAATATCATTTCAGCGTTTGAATTGTGATTTTTGGGCCGTCAATATTTTAATTTCATGGTTTTCGATTTTGTAATAGGTGATCAAGGAACCGTGTGATCATGTTGTTGATTCACCTCAGCCAGCTCACGACGATAGTGGTTACTCGGCCTATGTTTTATTATTGTCACTGCCAGCCATGGCTGATCTGATGGAAAAGATTGTAGTTCGAGCGGAATCCAGTAGTCGTGTGCGTGGCTCACTGCGTAAGTACATCAAAATCGTAGCTTTGGGAAAAGGTGAAGAGAGACTCAAAGCTGTTGGTGGCTTTTGGGATCCTGAACTGGACGGATCAGATCCAGGAACAAACCCGAAGACTCTAGTGAATACTGCCATTCGTACTTGTAAACAACTTATTGGTCTCGATTTATCCTACTGTACACAATGGTGAGTCACATTGTTTCACTTTGCACATTAAAATGTATGCTTGTATCTCCTGGTCACTACATGGCCTACATTTTCTTCATATAAAGGTGAATTGTGCAATATCATCAGTAATAATAAGCAGTCTTGTCCAACTCCTGTATGCACTTCGAACGCCTCTCTCAGTTTTCCGTTGTGGATAACTTGGCACGTGGCACTGTCGTACAGCCAGCTGTTGAATGAGGTTGACAAAGAATTGGGCACTGCACGCCATAGTGTTGAAGTAGTTTCAAAATTACTTCTCGGTCAATACTATCGAAGGACTTCTCGATATCAATGAAGTTGAGATAGGGAGAGATTTGAATGCTATTCTATGCTCTGTTCGATAATGACGCGTGGAGCTGCAATTTGATCAGCACATGAATTACTTTCCCAGAATTCAGTTTGTTCCTAGTGGAGTTCTGCATTCGATGTATATCTTACTCTCTCCTGTCTCTGTCTGTCTGTTTTCGACATAGAACTTTGCACAAATGTGCGGAAGTTCAAGTCGCCACATTCCGTGTAGCACGCGAAGCAAGAGAAGAAAGTACAAGAAAAGCATAATAGAAACAGTGAGCAGAGGTGTGAGACAAAGGAGGAGTAATAACGAAGAACAAAACAGTTTCATTGGAGATCATAAGTCACAAGGAGTGGATGCATCTGCGCCACTGAGAACGATCACTTTGAGCCATGTCACCAATTGTTTCCAACCATAGATTTTTACCGTCTCGAGGACCCCAGCCTGGAAGTCTACACCTTTCTACGTGGCTTAGACCAACTGTTGTGGATTTCATTGACTGATGCCAAGTTTTTGTTTGACCGCCGCTAGCTTTTTTCCAGTCTGACCCTATATCCGCTAACATTGCTCGTCGAGGGAGGCGATGGCTTGGCATACGTAACACATGTCCTAACCATCTCAGTCTTTGTAACTTCACGACTTCGTCGATTGATTTCCCCAGTTTACCTAGAACTCGACGCCTAACTTCAGTTTTGCTCACCTTATTATGCCACTTTACACGGGAAATAGAACGCAGGCACCTATGATCAAAGACAGCTAGTGTTTTCATGTCTTCCACTCTCAGTGGCCAGGTCTCACAACCATAAAGGAGGACGGAGAGGACTGATGAGCAGTACACCCGCCCTTTGGTCGATAGTCGAACATCTCGTCTACGCCAGAGTCGGCGTAAACTGGCAAATGCGAAACGAGCGCCCTGTATTCGTGCTGAGATTTCGTCAGAGATCAACCCGTTGTCACTGGCTGATGGTACTTCCCAAATAAGTGAAGCGGTCAACGTGCTCTACCACTTCACTCCCTATTTTTAAACTAGGCGTCGATGTAGTCCAGTCCTGTAACATCATCTTGCATTTGGCGGGAGCGAATCGCATGCCAAACATTCGTAGATTGCGGCTCAAGGTGTTTAGAAGACTGCATTTCGTCAGCGTCTTCGCCTAGGAGGACTATATCGTCTGCATATTCCAAGTCAACGAGATTATTCCCTGGTAGCAAGTCAATCCCTGAGTCACTGAAGTCGCTTAGGGTTAAGTCCATTAGTACATCTATGATGAAGTTGAATAGAAAAGGGGATAATGGGTATCCTTGACGGACACCACTGGTCGTCATCAGTTCAGATGACAGCTCGCCGTAAGCCCTCACCTGGCTGTGTGAGTACGAGTAGAGTGCCTTAATCAGTGCAATATATTTTCTCGGAATTCCCTTTACAGCCAAGCATCTCCAGAGAACTTCTGGGTCGACAGAGTCGAATACTGCCTTTAGGTCAAGAAATATGATGACTGTTGGACGCCGGTAGGAATGCCTATGTTCTAGAATCTGTCGGAGGGTGAAGATATGATCAATACACCCTCTTCCTGGTCTAAAGCCTGTCTGGCTCTCTCGTGTTTGTGCCTCGCGAGCACCACTCAGTCTGTCTGTCTGTCTGGATTCAACATAGAACTTGGCACCGAAGTGCAGCAGTTCGAGTTGCCACGTTCCAAATAGCACACAGAGGTAGACAAGAAGATGAGTGAAGAGAATCAATAGAGTTTGACAAGTATAAGAGTGAAACAGAATGGGTAATGGTAGAAAGGAATATGAAAGATTACAGAGATTGAATACATCTGCGCCATTGACAACGATTTTGAGCCATGTCACCTATTGTCTCCAGCCATTGATTCCTAGAGTCCCGAGGGCCCCAACCCGGGAGTCTGCATCTCCCTACCTGACTCAGTTTAACTGTCAAGGATTTCATGGATTGATGCCATGTTTTTGTTTGGCCACCACTGGCTCTTTTCCAACCTGAACCTATATCAGCTAACAATGCCCGTCGGGGGAGGCGGTGGTTAGGCATGCGCAGCACGTGACCTAGCCATCTTAGTCTATGTAACTTTATAACCTCGTCGATTGATTTTCCCTCTTTGCCCAACACTCTACGCCTAACGTCAACATTACTTACCTTGTTAAACCACCTAACGTGAGACAGAGATCGCAGACATCTATGATCGAAAGCAGTCAACCTTTTCATGTCTTCAACGCGTATTGGCCATGTTTCAGAGCCATAGAGAAGGACGGAGCGAACTGATGAGCAGTACACACGTCCCTTGGTTGATAACCGGATGTCACGCCTACGCCAGAGATGGTGTAAGTCAGCGAAAGCAGCTCGAGCTTTTCGGATCCGTGCTGAGATTTCATCGCCAATCAGTCCGTTGGTGCTAATACAACTTCCCAAGTAGGTGAAGTGGTCAACATGTTCTATCACTTCACTCCCTATCACTAAGTTAGGGGTTGACGTGTCCAGTCCTGTAGCAGCATCTTACATTTTGCAGGGGCGAATCGCATGCCAAACATACGAAGATTGCTGCTCAAGGTGTTCAGAAGACTCTGCATTTTGTCAGCATCCTCCCCTAACAGGACTATGTCATCTGCATATTCTAAGTCCATTAGATTATTCCCTGGTAACAAGTCGATTCCTAAGTCACTACGTTCAGTTAAGGATACTTCCATTAGCATATCTATGATGAAGTTAAACAGAAATGGGGAAAGTGGACATCCCTGTCGGACACCACTGGTTGTTACCAATTCAGATGACAATTCCCCATAAGCCCTTACACGACTACGTGAGTTTGAATAGAGTGCCTTGATTAGTGCAATGTACTTTCTTGGCACTCCCTTCACAGTCAGACATTGCCATAGTACTTTTCGGTCCACGGAGTCGAAGGCCGCCTTCAAGTCAAGAAATATGACAATTGTTGGACGCCGAAAAGTGTGTCTATGTTCTAGAATCTGTCGAAGAGTGAAGATATGATCTATGCACCCTCTACCTGGTCTAAAGCCTGCTTGATTTTCCCTTGTCTGTTCCTCCCGAGTTCTGCTTAGTCTATGCATGATTACTGAGCCTAGGATTTTAGAGACTATGTTCGTTAGGCTGATCCCCCTATGATTATCACACGAGGACTTGTTTCCCTTCTTGAATATCGGTATAATGAGTGACTTACCCCAGTCTGATGGTACTGTCTCTGATTCCCAGACTTTGCCTAGTACCTCAGTTAATCTACAAACTAGTATGTCACCCCCATATTTAAACACCTCCGGAATAATTCCGTCGGGTCCTGCCGCTTTGCCTCGTTTCAAATTACTGATAGCTTTTGTAACCTCACCTACAGACGGCGGACCAGTGTCTATATCCCATTCGGGTACGTGGTGGATGGCGGGGAGGTTCAGTGTGGCTGTAGGCAAGTTAAATTGTTCCTCAAAGTGTTCTTTCCAGCGTTCAAGGCGTCTATCCTGAGAGCTAATTAAGGAGCCATTTTTCTCAGAAATAGTCTCACTTATGAATTGCCTTTTCCCGCCCGATTCTGTGATGAGTCTAAAGAGTTGCCTAGTGTTGCCTATCGCCAATGCTTTTTCCATCTCTTTCGCCTTTGTCACCCACCACTGTTCACGGTCCTTGCGGAGACTTTTAGTAAGTTTCCTTTTGTGCAGCTTTCGCTCCTCATTGAATTCGGAGCTCGCCGGAATAAGTCTTCTAGCATCTATCAGTTCGGATGAGGCAGTCGAAATCCAGTGGTTTTTACTCACCTTTGGATTTGTCTTATTCACAGCTTTTACAGCTGTATCTATAGCTGACTGAATATTCTTCCAGGCTTCTCCAGGGTGAGCACAGCTGTCGAATTCAGATATGCGTTTAGCTAGTTCTTCCTCAAATAGGGATTTAGTTTCCTGATCGAGCTGGGGGCGTAATGGTTTTACCGCCAGCTGTTTCCTACGTCCGTTCAGTCGTAAGCACACACGAGCCCGGACCAGTGCGTGATCGGTATCTACACACGTGTTCCAGAAGGAGCGACAATCTCCTACCGACCCACGCCAACGATAGCTTATTGCTATGTGGTCTATTTGTGTCCAGCGTTGGTTTGATGATGGGGGTCGCCAGGTTAAACAGTGTCTCTCCTTGTGTTTAAAGTTAGTGCTTACAAGAAACAAATGATTATCTGAACAGAACTGTAGGAGACGGTCACCGTTGTCGGTTCGCTGGCACGGAACTCCATAGGTGCCACCGACATCCTTCTCAGATTGACACAATTTCCCTACTTGAGCGTTGAAGTCACCAGCTAGAACGACTATATCTGAGCGTTTAGCCTTTCTCACCAAACTAGACAGCTTTTGGTAGAACTCATCCTTCGTTTCATCCGAACTGCAGTCAGTGGGGGCGTAGGCGGAGATTACGAAAAGGCATCGGCGAGTAGTGCAGTCCTTTCTCCTTCTTACTGATCCGTTCAGACGGACAGCACACATTCGGCTATCTACTGGGATCCAGTCAAGCAATGTCTTTTCTGCCCTAGTACTCAGAGCTATCCCTACGCCAGCTAATCCCCGTGAACTAGCTGTGGCATCTCCTGACACCCTCAAGGTGAATTTTGAAGATTCATCCTGTTGGCCAGGTGGGGTTAGGTGAATAACCACACTTGGGTCTTGTATGCGTGTTTCTGAAACACAACATACATCAATGGCTCGAGATGCCAGGGTCTTAGCTAGTGATGCTTGTTGTCCTATTTGGCAAAGTGTCCTTACATTAAATGCTCCTATATGAAATTGGTGGCGTGGCTTTAGGAGACTATCCGTGGTGGTTTTTTGGCTTTCGTCGTTTTTAGTGGACACAGAGTGAAGAGGGAGTGAGGAGCCATCAAGTAGAGGAGTTGCATCACTGGGGGAAGGTAAGGTAATAGAGATGAAGATGAAGACAAAGATAAGTGAGGATTAGAGAGGTTTTGTGTGCGTTTTGGATTGTGAGGGCGATTGTTACTTCCCGGCTGCCCACACCGTGGAAGTTGGTTGCGTGACCGCAGAGCCCAGGGGACAACTGCTTGTGGCCGGTCACACGCGGCCTGTTTTTGTTCGTTCTTTGTTGTTTTGTGTGCCTCAGTAGCATACTTATCACTCCCGCCCTGTGACACGGCAGCAGGAAGCGCGGTCGTTGTTAATCCGGGCCACGGCCGATCCGGCATGAAATTTTGTGAATTTGTTTGGATCATGGTATTGGATGAGGTAGCTGCTTTTTGTTTAACCGCTATCCAAACAACCTGCCTGGCATGGTAGAACCTCAAGAGACATAAGTCTCAGCCAGTATAGCTTGATTAGGTCATTGCGGTGTTCAAGCCCGACCACCACGTCAAGGTAGCAGCTTTCGGTCGCATGATTATTGAGCCTAAGACTTTAGATACTATATTAGTCAAGCTAATCCCTCTGTGATTATCACAGGAAGACTTGTCTCCCTTCTTGTATATGGGGATAATCAGTGACTTACACCAACCCGATGGGACTTCTTCTGATTCCCAGACGCTGCCTAGTACCTCAGTTAATGCAGACAGTAAACTGTCTCCACCGTACTTAAATACCTCTGGAGTGATTCCATCAGGTCCCGCTGCTTTGCCCAGTTTCAGATTGGTGACAGCTTTAGTAACCTCAGTTAGGGATGGAGGACCTGTGTCTATATCCCATTCAGGGAGGTGTTGGATGTTCGGAAGGATGAGCGTGGCTGTGGGCCAATTAAACTGCTCCTCATAATGCTCTTTCCAGCGATCCAGTCGTCTATCCTGGGAGCTAATTATAGTGCCATTTTTCTCCGAGATTGTTTCACTAATGATTTGTCTTCTCCAACCCGTTTCCCTGATGAGTCTAAATAGTTGACTGGTGTTGCCTATCCTCGAAGCTTTCTCCATCTCTTTCGCTTTTGTCACCCTTCACTGTTCACGGTCCTTGAGGAGACTTTTCGTAAGTTTCCTTACGAAAAGTCTCTCTCTCCAGGATGACACGACCTAATATTTTGTCTGGTGTGAACAAGAACATGATTCCACGTCAGTTCTTGCACAGGCCCAAGTCGTCCTTCTTTGGCAGCTTGACGAGGTAGTCTTTCCTTCTCTCCGAACCTTTGGCAACAATGGCATGAACGCATCTGTCTCAGTCTGTGGGACCGTTCTCGGTGCTTCAAGGGAATTCCGTCTGGTCCTGCTGCCTTACCGGAAAGTGTTCAGTAACTTCATCGCATTTAGGATTTCCGCTTTCGTTGGAGGATCGGTGTCCACTACCAGGTGGTTCTGTGCGTGGTGTTGGTGGTAGGGGTATATCTGGGCGATTTGCAGGTGGTGGTCGATTCAAGAGTCCTTTTAAGTGAACAGCCCATTGTTTCATTTGTTTCTCCTTGATAATCAGGTTCCCTTAAGCATCGTATATTGGTTTCATCATATGGATAGTCTCTTCCCGGATAGACTCGATTACCTGATATGTTCTGAGATCCATTTTGCCTGCGCCTTGTTCTGCTGCTGTGTCGTAGAATTGTTTAACGTCATTCTTAGCACTCTTCACTTCTTTATTCAGTGCAGTGTGCATTGAACTCAACTCCTGTTGTCCATTTTTGCATTGAGTCATCTCTTTCACCATCCTCCCCTCTTCTGTTAGCTTCCAGGTACCCATTGTTTGCCACTCCTTTTCCTGTCAATTCTTCCTTCTTGGAACAGTTGTACACGTGTCCTTGTATATCTCCTTCAAGGATTTAGTTCTAATGTTTTTCAACACAGGTTCGTTCCGTGGTGGTACGTAGTGTCTCCGACTTTGCACTGATCTGATCTGCAGTGAAGGCATTCCTTGTAGTTTTGTCCTTCAGTTTACGAATGTTGAACTTGAATTGTGGCACCTTGAAGGTTCCTGGAACTAGATGGTGGTCTAAACACACCTCTGCTCCTCTTCGCGACGTTGTGTCCAGCGGGCTGGTTGCGCCCCCACTTTTTTGAACAGCGTTGATATGAAATCTATCTGGTTTGTGGTGTCTCCGTCAAGCGAAATCCATGTGACTGGCCTTGCGTATATCTTGTGCTTGTACACGCTGCCTCTGATCACCAAGTCACTGAAAGCAAAGAAGTCTGTGAATAATGCTCCGTTTTCATTCATTTCGCCAACCCATGATGAGTTCTCTTCCTCTATTGGTGCCTGCTCTCAGTTTGGCTTGCATTCATATCGCACATGAGAATTTTGATGTCACTATGTTGGATGTTGCCTATTACTGGGGGCTTTGGATGCCACTGGTGACATCATGATGACCACTCACTGCCTCAGTATGCTCGTGGTTGTCGTCTGGTGTACCGGAGTAGATAATTGACTCCCCCTGACAATGCCGTCAACCCGCCTCCATTCTATCTGCTTTCGCAGATACATAGTAGTTCTAAGCCATATCTTCGCGTCTCTTTGGCTACCTGAGTAGCCTTCCCAGTCTTAGACATTCCGCATCCCTATTCTTACTCTTACTTCCATCGAGAGAAGACGAATTAGCCGGCTGCCTGGCTTTCGGGAGGCTTTCACCAGCTGACTATGTCATTTCGCCTCTCCGATGCTAGCAGAGAATAAGATTTTTATTTGCAGTTTTTGTAATTTTAATCCATTTTCTATGTTTTGAATTTAGTAAGTGGAGCTTAAAGTTTAGCTTGGCCGGTTTTCTATTTGTGTGTTATATGTGTTAGTTGTTATATGAAAGTCTCATTCTTAGTTCATAGGTAAATCCGAAACGCACGCGAAACCTCTCATAGGTAAATCACTTTAGAAAGTTTCTGATGTGCCTCGATTTGACATTCCAGTTTGCATTTATATACTAACTGTTCATTCTAAAACTCGTGATTTGATTAGTTATGTGCGTTCAACTCAGGGCAGTGCTTAACGCCCATACTCTTGGAGCTTCATTTCCAACTTTTTGATTTAATTAAAATTATTGTCAGCCCGGGCAGTTATGACGAGTCACTTTTTCTTTGTGTAGTTTCATCTTTGACAATTCTTATGGTACTAGTTCAGATAGTTTTTGTGATGTTACTGAACTAATATTATTTATGCACTTATCAAACAAATGGGTCTTACACCTACCTTCTATCGTCGTCGCCTTTACTGTTATTATCATCCTATCCACTTTCCCCAGGCACCGTTTCCTGGAGTTCCGCTATAGTCGTACGGAAGGTTCAACTGCCCAACCAACATCTATTTTGTTTCCTGGCTCACAACTCTGGGGTCGTGCGTTTGAAGATTCTCCAACCGCTGATGTGATTCCTCCAAGCAAACCATTTCACCAAATCTCTGTTTACTTCATCCCGAATGTTTGGTCCCTCATGCCTACAGATGAGGAGTGGCCGTTGATCAAGACTGCCTACGAGAACGTTTTGTCTTCCAAAGGACCTAGCGTATTCCCAATGTGTCCTTTCGATGTGAAAAAGTTTTCTGGCTTAGAATCGACTTCCAAGGAAATCGGTGATGAAAAATCAAAGGCGGTCGACGAAAGGAGTTTGAATTCACAAAAACCTTTAATTGATGACAATACAGCTGAAAATTCCACTTTATCAAAACCAGACGATAGTTTCAAGTCAATCTCCCCTGCACCCTTAGACGACGTCCTTGCTGCTCGTCCATTGGCCGATCCGGACCAAATATCAAAGGTCGCAAGTGTTTTCGAAGCTGAGGATGGCTCAGAATCACTGGATCTCAAGAGTCCGACAACTCAAGGAAATCAGTTTCAAGAGGTTGCTAACTAACTTACTGTTGTCATGTTATGTTACTACAGTGTATCTAAATTAAATTGTAAATTTTTTGGTTCTTATTTCGTTATCATAATATTGGTACAAATAAGTGCTTCAGGATATTACTGCTGGTACCACACTACTCCTATTCTTTTTTCATTTTCAGGGCAGCGAAAAAGGTCACATGAAGCCACATAATGAATTCAATTTGGCTAACATGAAAGTAAGCGTTTTAATATAGTCACTGTTTCATTTTGAAACTACCAGTATTTCTCATACAGTAGGGATTACCGATATTAGCCACTAAAGATGCAACAACTATAGCAACATGATAGAAGTAAATCTAGATAATCCTCAACTGCGTTTGGTCTGCAATCCTCAATAAGTAGGCAGAGATGACAAAGCACAACGCCTCTAAACGAACTTACTAGTTTCCCAAAACAAATAACTGCTATAGGAGTTCCAGTGTGATAACTCAGCTTCGACTCAGACGCTTAGGTATAGACTGGACATTAATGTTGAAGAGTATCCGGACAAGCGGACGTGCTATGTACTCCCAGACCTGACAAACAGATGAAGTTACTCGAAACACTCAATTGGGATCTTCTATGCGTGTCACAGACACAGTATGTACATTTGGAGACGTATTTCTTAAGCCATCTGTTGTCTAGCATTCATCGGTGTAGAAACGTTATAGGTAATAATAATAAGCTTTGATGGGATACATGGTATCAAACCAGCTGTATCACATATCGCATTGACAGAAAGCTCAATTCAGGCGATCTTTTATCAACTTATCAAAATGGTGCAAGTAAAATAAAGTCTCAAGCAGTAAAGAGTAGACATGACAAATCTAGATCTGATATTGATAAAAGTCATGTAGCAAGGTGACCCACTGCTTACTCACTATATGGAAACCTGATTTTATTGTGGCTAATGTACTCTGGCCTTCAGTGGTAGAGAAAAGTCCAAAAGACTGTGAAGTCTGGCATCGCAGACTAAATATTGTCCCAAGCTCCATTATAGATAAGATTTTGATAAATCGCACAGTGTTTACAGTTATATGAACTGTATATAACTGTAAACACTGTGCGATTTATCAAAATAAAATCTTATCTATAATGGAATTATACTCTACCACAGTGCCCAAGTTTTATACTTATTGTTCCAAACCTCGGACATATTTTCTGATATTCGATTTTCAGTCAATCAATGACTTCATTGGTAGAGAAAAGTTACTGTGATTGAATGGTACGGTCAAAGTCAGTCAGACATCGCTCATACAATTCAGGCGGATAGTCGTGCTGTGAACACTGTTTAGGTCGCGTCAAGTTTGTGAATGTAATTGTATTGATGTGTTATTGCTCTCGAAATTAAGATTATTATCCTGTGGTCGGCTATCTGCTATACATAGTAAACAATAATTCGTCGAGAGATTACTATTTATTTTCACCTGTTGTTTATCACATTCAGCTTCTTAATATGTTCTGAACTTACCATTAGTCTTAATGTGTAGTCGTGACCAACTGTTCATTTTTATCCATGATTGTTACTTTTTGTGGGTTTTTGTATCAGTGCCGCTTTTGGCTCACAGATATTGAGTAGATTCATTTTTTTTATCTGCTGTACTGGTTTCCCGTATTTTGTTACTTCAAATGTACATTCATGCAATAGATGTTATGTTGTTAAGATTGTGAATAAGCAAACGAAATAAAATCTAACAAATCGAGATACTTGAATTCACACAGTACTTTTCTTCATTTAGATTCTCTTCCAGTTGAATTTAACTATATATTATTGTTCCTTTGGGTCCCAATTGGAATATAAGGCTTCTACAGCACACTCCAATTTCTTCCTCTTGTCTGCTTTCCTATTCAGTTGGTTTCGATATCTCCCAATGGTGCAGATGCATCCACTCCTTGTGACTTAAAATTTCCAATAAAATTATGTTTTTCGATATTACTATTCTTATTGCCTCATATCTCCGTTTATTGTCTCTATTTTGTGTTTCTTTTTACTTTCCTCTGTGTGCTAAGTGAAGTGTGGCGACTCATACGGCTGCACGTTGGTGTAAAGTTCAAAGCTGTAACCAGACAGTCAGTCAAATATCGCCCGCAAGGTTTAATTTACTTAATTGTGGATTTTTATTTAAAATTGATTAAGTGATATTGGCTTGGGTTTATCGTATGTTGTAAATTATATGTTGGTAAGTTTTATTCTGTGCGTTGGTGGCACAGCGGTTAGGACGCTCACCGACCATACACACATGGTCCGGGGTTCGATCCCCGGCCGACGCACTCCTTTACGTCGCTGAGCCAGAAATAATGCTGGTAAAGAGGCTAGCAACCCTATCCAACAGAAACTTCAAGCCTGTAGCTTGGACCCCTATGTTCCACTAGGAACGTGAAAGAAAAAAAGTTTTATTCTTGTTCATTTTCATGCTGTTTGTAGTATAGTATAACTAAACTATGTAGTTATTCCGATCGTAGGCTATGCCTTTAAAAATGTTAAAAATCATCGGTTGCATGTTTCTGTACCATTTCATGAATTCGCGTATTTCTCTTTTCACTTGGTTTATGCCGCGACCCACTTACACTTTTACTTTGTAATTCTTTTTATTCTTCTTTCCGTTTTTCGAAGTTTTGGTCTCTGAAAGATATACAGAGTGACAAATTTGGTGTTACTGTGGCTAAGCAAGATTGCAGCAACAAGCTAACATCTGTTTCTGTCTTCTCACAGTATAACGTTTTATGTTTTATATTGATACTATTTCCTCATTATCTGTAGGTATCTGAACTCCGTGAACAGTTGAAGGCCCGTGATTTACCTACGGAAGGAGTGAAAGCTCAGTTACTAGCTCGTCTGAAGTCGGCTATTCATGAAGAACAAGAGTCCGCTAAGAAGGCCGAAAAAGAGAGTAAGTCTGTATTCATAACAACCCCAAGTTATCTCTATGTGTTTATCTTCTGTTATTAAATTTGTATTCCTTTTCGTTTTTGTATATTTTCAGAGGAAGATCGTGCAAAAGTTTCCCAGGAAGCTGCTCCTGAAAAATCACTTCAAGTTTGGGACAAACAAACCAAACCTGCTTCAGAAATAGAATCTGGATCAAAATTGAAAACTGACTTACCGAAACCAGCTTTACGTGATATTCCGTCACTAATACTAATACGTAGACGTAATGTTGACTTTAGTATACAGTCAGTCGGTCTAGATGTAAGCCAGTTTTTCGTCGTTTCGCATTTCCTTTGCGTTTATATTTTATCTGGTCGCAAAAGCATCGAAATAGGCTAAAAAATCACAAAGCTGAATGCTTTGCTATGTTTTAGGGAATTGTTTTCCCAATCACTTGAAAACGTTTTTAGTTCAGACTTTTTTCCGCTTGTTTAGAGAGTGTAGTCTTAGATTATTTATTCATAATTTATTCTCCTGTTTCGTGTATGTGTTATAGTTCGGAAATCCTACATCTCAATATAGTCCTATAGTGACTGAAGCTGACCATAGATATTAACATTTTATGCGTCAGATTAATAACAGAAAACGTTGAAAAGTACATTAGGAGAGCCCGTCTTTGAGATGACCGCTATGCAGTAATTGTTTCCACTGGAATAACAGGGTACTTACCAATGTTATGTATCTGTCACATTGTTGGATATATCTGGTTCACTTAGCAGACATCGAAAACCATTTTGTACTGTGTTATGCTATGTAGTACCTTTTTCGATTCATAGTCCATTAATATTAGTTTTCGTCTGAAAAGTTATACTAAGTGCTTCGTGTACATATTACTTGAACATAACTTACGAGCTATTTTTCGCAACTAATGTCATGTTTATTGTTCTTCAAGGTTGTTATGGATTCAAAATCCAATTTCATGGATAGCAGATCATACGAACTCATGTTTTGCGTCCACACTATATTCGATATGCTACGCAGAGATTCTGTGTTTACCTTGTTCCGCGCGTTGGTCACCGCTGCAGATAGGGGAATATGTGCCAAACCGAGAAAACGCAGGTATTGTTTTTGCTTTACCTCTGAGTTGTGTTGCATGCATTGGTAATAGTACTTATTTTAATGTCGCAACATCTTGTGTAGTAACGCCTTGATTTGGATATAATTTTCGCAATTAGGAATGTAAATTTATGAGGGCGAAATTTGCATCTTCAGCTCGTATGCATAATATATGAGAACATTAGGATAAAAATTTAATAGAATTTGTGACCTTATGATGCTCTATCTCATTATAACGGTTTGAATGACGGTTTACAAAATTGTGTAAATGTGCTAAAATTTCGACTTCATAACTCCATTATTTTTATACATTAAGTGAACCGGATTATGCAGCGAAACGCGCACGTTTGGAACGCGGCGATAGAACCTCAGTAACAAAGGATGATGATTGCAAAGAAGTCCCTCTGTACACAACCGATCTTCCTCTGCTTTTTGCATGCACAGTTCTGGACACAAGTTATAAAAGCTATTTTCTTTCATCCGAAGTAGAGGACTTCATTCTATCTTTGGGGTTGCCTATGTCTAGGTATCAGGTGAGCTGTCATTTTCAAAGTGACTGTATTGATGTTCTTCATATATCCAGACCGTAGATTGTTATTTTTATATTTGTCTTTTGCTGGTCACTTAAGTAATCGACTTTCACACCTAGTTCAATAGTTTTCAACTGTATTTCGAATATGTATAAATAGTTGAGATTACCATTAATTTGGAGCGCAGTTTGAAGATCAAGATACAACAGGTTTTAAGTAAATTGTTTTGTTGATTTCCAGTGATGTAAGTATAAAATTCAGGCACTATGATATAATTTTAATTGATTAAAAACGATGATACAGCATTTCTTATTTGATGAGGTCTCGCTTATTATTTATCGCTCATAGTCATATCAAGGTACTTACATAGCTATCAAATTTTGTTTATGTAATTCAATTATTTCTAACCCTTTGGTTTCACATCTTATCGGCTTAGCGTCTGAATACCATCTATTTTCAGCATAGAACTAAGCAAATAAATGCAGCAGATCAAGGTACTACAGTCTATACTGAATGCCTGTTAGTGTGGTGTTGCATCTTGAAAACCCTTTCTCTGTTTTGCTTCCCAATCTAACGTCGCTAATTCTCCTTGTTTATTTTATGACTCAAATGTAAATTTTACCCCCACTAATACTGCGTATATATGTATTAAGAAGTTAGGGGTATGTTACGTTCTTGCCAACATGAAGGTGTGATCCGCATATAATTGTTTTAAAAACTTTTCCCAGTTATCCAAAAGACCTACAATTGGAGACGTTATTGATCTCATTGCTACCCCTTCTGTTTGTCTGCATATTTTACCGTGAAATTCAAAGACAGTAGACGTGAGAAATAATAGAGTCCCTGAAGTAATTTCCCTTATGTTCGAATTTGTCACATCAGTTTGCGACCAGCAGTTAGTTCTTTTCTGATAGCTTTCAAGGCTATATTGATTGCTATGTAAGTATGAAGATAACCTATATCAAAACTCCACTACAAAATACTGTATCCATGCGTTTTTAATCAAATTCTATGATTGCATGTTCAGTGATTTCAGTATTGTTAATTTGATTGCATTTTAATGTTAGGATAGCGCAATACAGCGTTTCTGTAAGGTCTGACCTTGATAGACGACAAGAAGGTGGATACTCAGTTCCTTTGTGTATATGTATCGAAACCATCCTCAACTCTGAAACGTCCTGATTCTTACAGCCGAATACTGCATGATAACATCAAGTTTCCAATAATAGATTCGTCCAAGTAAATACATAGTTTCTTGTATTTATAGTCCTAAGTGTCTGTTGTTCTTCAGTCAACATTTCTCCGTTTATCAATTATTTTTTTCTTTCTGTTATGTAGCTAAGATCTCTTATATATAAAGTCCTTGATCATGGTCGTTTTCACTACCGGTCGTTGACAGATTCCGAGGAACCCCTCTCTCTTACAAACAAGTCATCTCTAATATTTTCTGATATTGATGATGATGAATATCTTGTAGAACTTGTCCGTGGAGGTGACGCTATTTTAGATGAACAGACTGACGCTATACCTAGTGGAAGGTAAGTTTCTGTTTCACATAACAAATACAACGTGGCATGTGACTGGTGTAATATAATCCGCATAAACTTTATATACTAAATTACTTGTCTAGGATTCAATCTTGGTCTAGTCTATTTCAATGAGCAATGAGCATTGCGACTGTGATAATGTTCCATGATAGTTAAGTGTAACTGCTAAACCAATAAATGACGTATCAGATCTAAGGCAATTGAAGATTTCGAGAATGTATATCCGTCTTTTATGTGAAAACCACGAATCTCCACTACTACAGTTAATATAACTGTACAACAAAATAAAATCTTATCCATAATGGAGTTATACTGCTTGTTAGTAAAATCGAGTGTTTTCATCATCTTGTTTTGCGAAGCAATGCTTGATTAAACAATCACGAGTAGATTTACTGGGACTAGTCTTCATGGTAATTACGAACTCAACATTTAAAATGAAGTTACATTGGTGACAGTAAAACTTATCCTAGATGTTATTTAGTTCATACATATGGATGTCCGTTACTTCATCTGTTTCTTGTTCGTCGTTATTTCTTTGAATCGGTACCGAGTTTTCTAATCTTATTTACTACTTTCCGCATACTTGTAGTAGTTTTTCTTTTCATTGTCATTTACTAATGAAACTTCCTGTTTTTCAGTATTATTGTGCTTCAGAAGTCAGACAATGCCGATGGTTCTAAGATATCACATCCGGATGAGTTATTCCAACATATACGGACGTCAGAACAAGAACAACACAAATTAATGACTAAAATACGACTTCAAGAGCAAGAAATCAGTGAGTTTTTGCATCATTCTCACTTAAAATCAATGTCTTTCGCTGCCTGATCTTTTGTAATGTCTCACTGCTGTAATTCCGTAATGATTGCCGGTCATATTTTGATTTTTTTAAAATGTCTTTGCAGGTCGGCTTCGTGCGTCTGTTGCTGACTTCGCAAACCTTAAGGAGAAATTTTCGAAAACTGTTTCAGGTTTGGAAGAATGTCGACGGCGGTTAAGAGATGAAAGAGACAAGGTGGATACCATGGCTCGTGTATTAGACCAACAGGCATCTGTTCTTGACGCCTGCCGCTCAGCTCTTCGTCAAGCCTCTAGTCGTGCTCATAATCGTCACTCCACTAGTGAGTCATGCAAACAATCGTCAAAGCGTTCATTGTCTCCTTGTTCGACAACAAGTAACAAAGACTCTGTGAAATCTCCCAAGAAAACCAGAACTCCAGAATCATCTGTACCTGTAAGATTACATTTTCTTTTTATACTTTTATTTTGTTTTCAAAAACACAATTATTATATTGTTTTCTCTTTTACAGGGAGGGGATATCACTCTTAGCTGTTGTGACAGTGATACTGCTAAATATACTGAAGTAGAATCCGGAAATGATGCGGCCATGTCCGAATTATCGACAAGTCTCGGTTCACATGTTAAGGAAGATGTAAGTTAGTGATGTGAATTTGTATTCTCTGTTGCTAAAGTTATTTCTTAATAATAACTTTTGTTCAGTTCTTTGGAAGAAATCAATTTCGTATGTTTTTCACTTATCAGCGAACAGTCGCAAATCATCGTCTTTCCAGTAATTGCTTTGATGAATCAGTCCTATTAAAGACCAAAAGATTCATTGAGTCATGAAAAAAATAAAAGGCAATTCAGCAGAAAAATCTTTTTCTAGGGTTTTACAATTGCAACTATGTTTACGGACTACGTGACTGAATGGTAAACGGTGTGACATTTGGTTACCCAGAAGTAGGTCCTTAAAAAACAAGGAAATTCCCTAGCCATTTCGGGAACAAAGAAAATAAGGGTTTGATATTTTATAAGAGGGAAAATGTAACTAAATAACAAGCAAATTGGTTGATGGTGTAATTGACAATTACGATGTGGTTGAGAAAGAAAAAACTGGTAACATGTAATAGTGATGATACTGAATTACTAACTACAAGTCGGGAGGAACAAATATTAGGGAGTTTTGACAGCAGTGCAGAGGGTGAAAAGAATTTGATTCATTAGTTCTTTAAGTACACATGGTTTACTGGTGTTGTACTGTAGCTCACTACACAAATATGCTCACAACTGTCATCGTGGCAGTCGTTACTTATGTTTTCACTAGCTTTTTCCTTATCTTTACAATTAAGAATACCTCTTCAAAAGTACAATGTGTATTCTTCCCTTGTGAAGCTATAATACGGGTTGCCTGTTGATGTCTTGATGTCACAAATCCAAACCGCAGTTATCAAAATATGTTAGAAAATTTTTAGATTTATTTGTGGTCCTTTTATGTAATCAACTCATAATTCAGTGTAACCGATATCACACACGTTATAATTGAGCCCCATTCAACGTACTTATGAACTACACGCGTCAGTTACAATTTATAACCAAAAGAATATTAGTTCACGTAAAGTCAAACCTACACTTTAAAAAGAAATACATATTGATTAGTGTATCATTTTTTCATAACTCGCCAATACTTGATTTAAACGAAATCAGTTTAACTTGGTGTGTGACATGAAGGGTTCTACCATTCGGTTAAACTCTGCTGCGACGTAAAATTCGACCGAATGGTAGAACACTCAGACGTCACACACTATATCAGGCTGTTTCGCCAGAATCATTCTTGTCGTTTAGTAATTATTGTTTTTGTCATTAATTAAAACATATTGTAAATTTTTTCTGGTCACAGTTGGTTAATGGGGTGAAAAACGAACTGGAGACGATTACTGATGGCGACGACCGGAAAGCTGCTGAAGTTCTAGATAGTCAGTTAGTTTCAGAAATCAAGGAAACCGAACCTTCTATCACGGTATGTTTCTTTTCTTTATTACTTCAGCTAAATATTATTTCCAAAAGTTACCAAAGAAATTTCTTCTTCTTTCAGGTTTGAAATAATGGAAATAAAGTCCAGGCTGATGATGCCTTTTTCTCCTACTAGCTGCATTCACCTGGTTTTACGAAAAAATGAGTCGTTCTAATGAATTTGTTTTGATATTACCCATTAATTAAAATAAACGTCCTTCTCTCCTCTCACTTTCTTTTCACTTGAGTGAAAACTGAAATATTTTTGTTTTGGAAAAAGTGTTTTAGAGTTTGTCTTCGCGGTGATACTCATACTAACCATTAACCTCGTTGATTATTAAGATACTCGAACCAGTATACAAATCTACAAGAGAATTGGTTAAACATGCCAGTCTCCAGTCCTAGTATCATATATGTACTATAATAATACCTTTTCTCTACCACTGAAGGCCAGTAGGAATATATCCATCTTAATTTAGCCTGTAAAACCTACACTCAGGGTCAGTGCAATGGGCCTTGTAATTGCTGTACTTCGCGTTTTCTATTATCAATACATTAACGTAAAGGAAATATTACTTCATAATTTTTATGAAAAGTAGCTGAATCGAAAATTTACAGACAGATACAAAATAAACTGCTAATCATAAATAGTAAGTAACGAAACCAAAATTCAGTTGCACTCCAGAATATAAAAATTATCATTACAAACCATTAACAACAGTATACCAGTTTAATTCAATCAAGATTTTCTAGTCGATTGATTGCACCGAAGTCATCGGTATCAGGTTCACATGTCGGCTCTTAGTGCAGATGATTCGAAGATGTCGGCTAATCTAATTCGAAGTCAATTGGTAGGTGGTGACGCAGAAGAGAAACAAAGAAGCGCATTTGGAATTATTTGCGACGCTTTCCCACTTGAAGCTATCGATACTAGGTTTGAGCATTTGTGGGAACAACATCACTGACTAGGGAAGGCAGGCAGTAACTAATAGCATCCGTTCCAATGCAAATCCCCCAAATGTATCTAACACTATAAACGCAGTGCAATTCTCTAGGCTCCCTACACTTGGTAACATTTCCCTGTAGTGACCGTTGAATGGTACTCTGCCTTTTTCACCGCCAAATACAGGGAACAAACAAGATTCAGGGAGCATGATATGTCGTAGTTACAAACACAGAGCCTGGGTATTAGTCCAAGAGCTCATTCGACTCTGTCAATGGGATGAATATTTTACCACTGACTGCCTGGGGGCTAAAGTGTCCCTATTCTACAGGAATGTTAACCTTTATCTAGCTACTGTTGCTCCTAAGAAAATAGTGAAATTAAGTGGACACCAAGCTGAATACATTCCAAGAGCATACTGCAATAAGTTAAGGAAGTTGATGAAACAGTACTATTCTACTAAGGATATACCACTACTGCACCTAATCCATTTGAATCTGTCAAGCGCCTACGCCCTCAGAAGGACCCCGATGAAGAAGTAAGTGCACTTAAAAGTACCTTCAAAGTTTACAACCTCGCAACACTTCTTAAAAAACGAATGTGGTTGACGAGGGACATCTACTTACTTCGTGAAAAGTAATCTACAATGAGCCTGTCACCATCTGTGAACTTTTCAGTGAGTGGTTTGCGAAATGTAGTTTAGAAACACACTTCCAGTGGAACTGTACCCCTTACTAGCTCCTCTCTCAGGAGCATTGTGCTCACCAATCCATTGATAGGACAAGCTGTTAAAAGCCTTAGACCTTCTACTAGCACGGGACCGGATGGCCTTGCTACAATAATTTTCAAAAACAGTGGGTGTGATATGCCCCAGTTACTTCTTAAATTCTTCTCAATATCTGTGGACATTGGCATCTACCCTAATGAGTGGGAAACTAGCTTCATAATTCCACACTACAAATCTGGTGATAAGGCAAACGTTCGCAATTAAAGACCTACAAATATAACTCCAGTTATCTTGCGATTCGTGGAGAAAGTTGTAAAAGATCAATTGTCAGACTATCTACGTTGGGAAGATCTTGTTACAAGGTCCGGCGTTACTTGTCACTTCGACTTCTTCAACTGCATCACTAGTAGTTACGATGCACGTAAGCTAGTCGTTGTTCTCTACTTCGATATATCTAGGGCATTTAAAATGGTATCTCACAGTATTCTCTATGAAAATCTGTACTCATATGGAATTCACAGTCCATTACTTAACTGGTTAGGGTCATATCTAAGCAACAGGGTACAAACAACCAAAGTCGGGTCACTATTGTCTCATCCTAGGCAGATCACAATGGGGTTGTGCAAAGTAGTGTCCTAGGACCACTTTTATTTACAGTCTACATTAACAGCATTTGTAACTGCTTCACCTCGGGTAAACCATTTCTATATGCTGACGACCGCAAAGTCGTTTACTCCTGCTACAGTCATGAATTAAAAGATATTGTAAGTAAAACACATCCTGAACTAAGTGGTCTCGCAACATGGTGTGCTGAATCCTGTCTGAAGTTTAACATTGACAAATGCGGCTGCAACAGTTTCCTTCACCTAACTCTTGAAATAAATCGGCGAAACCTAGCCAAGCTCAAGTCAGTCGTAGATTTCGGTATTAGATATTCTGGTAATTTAACATTCTCTGAACAGACTGATTATGCTGGACGTAAAACATGAAGACTCCTAGGATGCATAAATCGCAATAGTCTTTTGTTGTGAAACTAGGGTTTTATTATACAAAGTATGCGTTCGACCTATTTTAAAATACTGCCCATTTATTCATAGCAGACTCAGACAAAGTGAAAAGCTTAAATTAGAGGGAGTGCAACGGCAGTTTACCTCAAGAACTCTTGCTTTAGAAAGTGGTCTGGAATACTGTGAGCGATGCGACAGACTAAGATTAGAACCACTCTAGAAAAGACGTATTAAGCTAAACCTTATCTTTTACTACAAGCTAACTAATCTTCTCTTGCACTCCGAGCCATAACTAAACCTGCCGCCGTCATCAGTTACAATCTTAGAAATCATCACAACCTACCTTCTATAGAGCATTGTCAAAATTACGTGCGGTACAACTTCTTCTTAAATAAGTTTTCAGTCATTTGGAGTGCACTACCAGCTTGTAAAATGTGCGTGATGCAAACACACTTCCAGTGTTCATCTCTTCAGTCACCAGACTGCTCAAAGATAACTGCACTCCTGCGTCTGACTCATACCCTCTTTTTCACCCTACATAGATATTTTAATTTCATTAAACGTATAAATTACGATGAAACTACAATTATAAATGTTAATAATATTGGAAGCTTCCGTTATCGATCTCTCCGTCCACCGTGTGACATTAGATTTGAAAAGTGTCATCTTCTCCCATACTATTGTATGGTTGTCTGTAACTGCATGAAGTGCTATAGCTGAACTATTCTCCAGATTTCTTATCTTATTCGGATCAATTAATCTAGATTTTTCTAGGTTTTATGCTCGGTTATTCTGACTGCACCTATTCTACTAGTTTGACCGATGCATTTGACTTGACAATTGTTGCAGGGTAATAGATTAACAAAAATTGTTTCGTTTCAAAGTCTCCACAGGATCCTTTAACCGACAAAGCTTCTTTCCAATTGAGTTTGTTGGTTTGAATGCCAATTCTATTCCCGCCTTGTTAAGAATCCCGCCTAAGATTCTCGACGTTCCTTACTTTAACTCAATTACTAGTGAAGAATAAGATTTCTCATTTTTACTATTGTTTTGCGCATGTTCGGCATGCAAGTCGTCATGGATATTATTATTACAAATATAATAAAAATTATTATCACTATCACCATTATCATTATGTGATGATATGAAATAGCTGGGAGCCTTGGATTTAGGTTTCGTCCTAGTTGTCGCTCGTCATCAGGATTTATCTGCAACCTCGAAGAAACTCATGTCTCTCCTGAGATTCCAACCGGCGTCAACCATTGTTGCAGTCAGAGACGTTACCACTGAGCCATTCGGTTTCAGGAGTGACCTCAAGTAAGACTGTAGTGGATGCTTCGCTTGGACACTAGTAAATAATGCGACGTGTCTAGTCCCCTCATTCATGCAGCGTGAATTCTAACAGTAAACTTTCCCAAGTGGCCACAAATCTAGGTAGCTCCCCACCACGGTACAAAATGAGTGGATTATTCTTATTAATATTAAATAATTTGTTATATATTTACATTTACGAACACAAAATTTTTCCATATGAAAGCTAATACGTCAAAACCAGTAAATTCGAAAACATATAGAGGACCAGATATACTATCAACTAATAGTCTTATCGAATTTTAATAACATACTACAGGATAAAAAGGATCGTATCTAAAATCCCGGTCAAAAGTCCAATACTACGTACTTCCGCCACTCTACGCCACCTATCCGAAGATGTCGTGCACACTTAAGTCGTCTAGACAAAGCTTCACATCCGTCTTCTGTCTATTCTTACTCTTATCCTCATTCCTCGTCTTCCTACCACTATCACTATTACCATTACTGATGTTATAATTATTATCATCATCATCATCACCACTATTATTATTATTATTATTATAACTATTATAACTAGTATTCCGCCTCTTCTAAGCCCACTGCTCACTATGCGTCACCGTCTTCTTCTTCTTCTTCGTCGTCGTCGTCGTCTTCTGCTTATTCCTCCCACTCTTGCACTCACACTCACAGTTAGTCTTACTCTTACTTACTCTTCGTATTCTCATTATTCCAAGTATTCCTCCACCTCTTGCTCACCTTTCCATCACACAAAATAACCAAAGTTTATCCAAGCATATTGCTGACTGGGGACCATCACAACTTCACTGTTTCACGTCTCCATTACACCCAACACACACACACATCGGATAGTACTCAACTAGACTGCCTAAAGAGAAGCTCTCCATGACAAGTGATTATCAACAAGTCGCCATTTCACAGAATCCAACGCAAACACAACAGTCTAACAATCTCAGTCGTTAATACTCACCTAGTTCAGCTTCCATTCACACCGAAATCAACAAGTGGGCATGCAAATCAATATATCAATAAATGAATAAATAAGTGAAGAAGTGTCGTCTACCACTCTGAATGAAGAGTCCACATTCCTTGTGACTAGATAAATCATGCAGATAATTGATGGGCGAAGAAATCAACTGCTAGCATTGACGTGAGGAAATCTCAAGGCGAAGCACCTTTCTTCACAATCCCACCAACCTCGTCAACGAGTTCCACAGAAATCTGAACACTCAATATTCCACCTAAAACAACCAACACTAAGCATACACTATAGCTGCATTGACAACCTCAGTCTATTCCTTCCCCAATCTTGAGAAATATAAAATCTCACAGGTGAGAAAATCCGCCGAAAACGCACACTCTGCATGCAATCAAGCTGTTTGCTTATGTTGACTGGTGGTCGAACAGTTTCATTGACAAACAATCTGTACATCACGTCCTCGTCATATTCTCGCCACCTGATCGTCAGGTGTTATCATTCTACGCTTGTAGAATATCACCGTAAGAGGAGGAGTGGGGCTTCCACTCATCCTCAACCACGCCACACCATCTGAAGTGCATACCACTTATTGCAATTTGCATCAGTAACCTCCAGACAAGGACAATAATATCTCTCCACTTGGTGTCTGGCTGTGGCTGACTAGTAAGTATCACCTCCTCCCCCTCCTCCTACAACCCAAACCACACAGTCGATAGCGTGTATGGATTCTTCCTTCAACTTGTAGGTAGGACACGATCAGGATTAAAGCACACCTAAGCATATAGCACGTGATAGACAAATGCAAAACAAACTATTTCCACCGACATAGAAACTCCTAAAGCTTCCTGCAGTTCATAACGAAACCTATCGCAAATCTATGTCATAAGCCAACTACCACGTACTTCCGCCACTCTACGCCACCTATCCGAAGATGTCGTGCACACTTAAGTCGTCTAGACAAAGCTTCACATCTGTCTTCTGTCTATTCTTACTCTTATCCTCATTCCTCGTCTTCCTACCACTATCACTATTACCATTACTGATGTTATAATTATTATCATCATCACCACTATTATTATTATTATTATTATTATAACTATTATAACTAGTATTCCGCCTCTTCTAAGCCCACTGCTCACTATGCGTCACCGTCTTCTTCTTCTTCGTCGTCGTCGTCGTCTTCTGCTTATTCCTCCCACTCTTGCACTCACACTCACAGTTAGTCTTACTCTTACTTACTCTTCGTATTCTCATTATTCCAAGTATTCCTCCACCTCTTGCTCACCTTTCCATCACACAAAATAACCAAAGTTTATCCAAGCATATTGCTGACTGGGGACCATCACAACTTCACTGTTTCACGTCTCCATTACACCCAACACACACACACATCGGATAGTACTCAACTAGACTGCCTAAAGAGAAGCTCTCCATGACAAGTGATTATCAACAAGTCGCCATTTCACAGAATCCAACGCAAACACAACAGTCTAACAATCTCAGTCGTTAATACTCACCTAGTTCAGCTTCCATTCACACCGAAATCAACAAGTGGGCATGCAAATCAATATATCAATAAATGAATAAATAAGTGAAGAAGTGTCGTCTACCACTCTGAATGAAGAGTCCACATTCCTTGTGACTAGATAAATCATGCAGATAATTGATGGGCGAAGAAATCAACTGCTAGCATTGACGTGAGGAAATCTCAAGGCGAAGCACCTTTCTTCACAATCCCACCAACCTCGTCAACGAGTTCCACAGAAATCTGAACACTCAATATTCCACCTAAAACAACCAACACTAAGCATACACTATAGCTGCATTGACAACCTCAGTCTATTCCTTCCCCAATCTTGAGAAATATAAAATCTCACAGGTGAGAAAATCCGCCGAAAACGCACACTCTGCATGCAATCAAGCTGTTTGCTTATGTTGACTGGTGGTCGAACAGTTTCATTGACAAACAATCTGTACATCACGTCCTCGTCATATTCTCGCCACCTGATCGTCAGGTGTTATCATTCTACGCTTGTAGAATATCACCGTAAGAGGAGGAGTGGGGCTTCCACTCATCCTCAACCACGCCACACCATCTGAAGTGCATACCACTTATTGCAATTTGCATCAGTAACCTCCAGACAAGGACAATAATATCTCTCCACTTGGTGTCTGGCTGTGGCTGACTAGTAAGTATCACCTCCTCCCCCTCCTCCTACAACCCAAACCACACAGTCGATAGCGTGTATGGATTCTTCCTTCAACTTGTAGGTAGGACACGATCAGGATTAAAGCACACCTAAGCATATAGCACGTGATAGACAAATGCAAAACAAACTATTTCCACCGACATAGAAACTCCTAAAGCTTCCTGCAGTTCATAACGAAACCTATCGCAAATCTATGTCATAAGCCAACTACCACGTACTTCCGCCACTCTACGCCACCTATCCGAAGATGTCGTGCACACTTAAGTCGTCTAGACAAAGCTTCACATCTGTCTTCTGTCTATTCTTACTCTTATCCTCATTCCTCGTCTTCCTACCACTATCACTATTACCATTACTGATGTTATAATTATTATCATCATCATCATCATCACCACTATTATTATTATTATTATTATTATAACTATTATAACTAGTATTCCGCCTCTTCTAAGCCCACTGCTCACTATGCGTCACCGTCTTCTTCTTCTTCGTCGTCGTCGTCGTCTTCTGCTTATTCCTCCCACTCTTGCACTCACACTCACAGTTAGTCTTACTCTTACTTACTCTTCGTATTCTCATTATTCCAAGTATTCCTCCACCTCTTGCTCACCTTTCCATCACACAAAATAACCAAAGTTTATCCAAGCATATTGCTGACTGGGGACCATCACAACTTCACTGTTTCACGTCTCCATTACACCCAACACACACACACATCGGATAGTACTCAACTAGACTGCCTAAAGAGAAGCTCTCCATGACAAGTGATTATCAACAAGTCGCCATTTCACAGAATCCAACGCAAACACAACAGTCTAACAATCTCAGTCGTTAATACTCACCTAGTTCAGCTTCCATTCACACCGAAATCAACAAGTGGGCATGCAAATCAATATATCAATAAATGAATAAATAAGTGAAGAAGTGTCGTCTACCACTCTGAATGAAGAGTCCACATTCCTTGTGACTAGATAAATCATGCAGATAATTGATGGGCGAAGAAATCAACTGCTAGCATTGACGTGAGGAAATCTCAAGGCGAAGCACCTTTCTTCACAATCCCACCAACCTCGTCAACGAGTTCCACAGAAATCTGAACACTCAATATTCCACCTAAAACAACCAACACTAAGCATACACTATAGCTGCATTGATAGCCGTTGTCTGTCCACAACTTGGAGGTGGCACTGAAATAACTTTGTGTGTTCGACACAAACTTTTTGTATTATGGTATAGTTCGGTGTTAGTTCTACATATTTTGGCATGCAAATTTCTTTACCTAGCATGACCTTACGATGTTGTTGACTTACGTGGGAAAATTCTGCGTTTCTCGGATCATGTTATTAAACATGATTTCGGAAACTTGAAAGCCAGAGATAGATGCACACTCCTAGCAAATGTTAGGAAATGGTCTGCGTGTGAATTTCTGAAGAACTGAAATGCAATCAACATCAATTAACTACCAATGCCCTAGGTGGTTTCATTGTCATGACAGTAAATAAGGGCACTTGTTTCCGGACGTGTTCAGTAGGCGACACAAAGTAGTTGAATGGGTCGAGGGCAAGCCTGTTAAATGGTATATAATCATTTCTAATACGGGTTAGGACTTTCGTCTCTCGTTGCAGGTACTCAACGGAATACTGAGCTTGCGACGAATTGACTGTCAAGCAAACAGAACAAAAAGACCCTAAGAAACTTGTTCATCTACGTAATTTGCACGTATTCAAAGATTTATAATTACTTAATAAAAGCACATACTCCTTTTAAACATTTATTCAATGAACGTCAGTACTCATTCCTCATCGCTACCGTTCTCGGCATCACCACCTTGAGCTTTGCGTTCCTTTTTCCTTTTGACACGACCTGAGAGATGTTAACAAACAATTAAGTGAATCTTACCAGGACGACCACAACCATACGGAGAATTAGGGCTGTAATCAATGTGCTTTCCAGAATCTAGGCGAACCATAAATCCGGGACAATTGACCATTTGTTTTCGAACCCTTATATGCCGCTGTCGAATCAGAACACGTGCATGATGGATACTTCTTGCCAGGCCTAATTTGAAAACCTGAGTTTGTAGTCTTCGTTCCAAAAAATCTTCTATTTTTAAACCAAGAACGAAATCCAGCTTCATCCTATCTTCAGGTAAGACACCAACTCGTACTAAACGCCTAAGCAGTGCGGACCCTGAAGATGAATCATACAACAGTAAAGGGTACCTCCGAAGAGCCTGCGAGGGTCTTTCTCATCCAGGGTAAGCAATTCACGAGCTGACTTGCGTATTTTCGCCAACACAAACTTTACTCGCCAAACTTCCCGTTTGTTGCGCAACCCATATTCACCGACAAGTTTCAGCTCCTGGTCTAAGCGCTCCTTTTCGAATGGTCTTCGCGGAGTTGCATAGGTCTTCCCGAAAACTTTTGGGACCCTGCTCATTTCTCACAACGGATCAACGTGATACTGACAAATTGTGGCGCGTCTATCGAAGGTGCTGGACAATTAAAACAAATTCAACCGCTTCAACAAAATCACTCGAAACAGTGGCTTACCCGGGGATAATTAAATCCAAAGTTCTATAGAGTGTTCAAAACATTATTTAAAGCATAAAATGACGGCAGTGATATTGAAAATGTGTGTTGGTTTAATGCAACGATATACAGAATTAGAATCCAATAGGTTTCCGGGGAAATTCACATTGCTAAATAATTGTGTTTGTAGTCTCCGAAGCAGGTATCTGGAAAAAGAATGATTTTAATTTAGAAGCTGTCCTTATACTAATATGTTCATGATGAATCCAGAATTACCAGATCTTCGCAAAATGTTCAAAGCTACAGAAAACAATCCAAACGGGAAGGTTAGGTGTTCATAAGGTTTTTGATACCGTATTGAAACCAGGGCTCTTTTGTATTCAGACAGTTTCCACAGGTGTGCCAAAATCTACTGCCTTATGTTATTACGTATAACTTTCCTTATCTCCCGCAACATTTGTGGTCTGTGCTGTTTGTATGTGTTAGGAAATGGATACTGAGATTACCCTTGGAGCTTGGAAACTTAACCCTAAGGCCATCCAGTACATTTCAAAGGGGTAAGAGCTTCGTTTTTCACCTTATTCCGCTCATCCTGTTGAATATCAGCAAGCCTATTCACTCTAGCATCATGAGTTCTACCGGTTCTCCTGATTTCCCTCATAGTAACTCTCGAATTTCGATTGTTACGACTATCTCAGATGTAATATACGACTCTTTGTCCGTATCTACCGTAATCCCTCCGTCCGGAATGGACACAACTAAGTAGATTCCTTTTACCTGTGAACTTTTCCTGCCACCAAGTATTTGGTTTATAACCTAATGTGCTTCAGAGACTGTGAGTAGCCGGGCTTTACCACCATCTAGTCCTCTCAAAAGTACGTGTTCGAGGTGTCACTATTTCTAAGCGCTTTCTCTAGTACACTCCTTTGACCTTTGCAATGGAAGATCTCTCACAACGACAGCTCAGTCAATGGTTAAACCCATTACCAACCTGGGAATGGTTTACAAAGGTCACTCTGCTCCCACTAATCGCAGTCATTGTAGTCTTTGCCTCCTCGGTGACAATCCAAAGAGTCGCGTAGCGTCTGTCTTAATCAGCTAGTTAACAAAGAGTCGCCTTTTTCGCGAGGCTCCTTCAATTGGCTGAAACGAAGTACTGCACATTCGGCAGAGAACTTCTGGCTATGTACTGTGCTATGCGCCATTTTCGACATTCAGTAGAGGGTCGTGAATTCATAATTTTTACTGATCACAAACCTCTGACGTACTCTCTGAACTCATCTTCAGATAAGTATTCACCTAGTGAATCACAACAACTGGATTACGTTTCACAGTTTACATGGGATATTCGTCGTGTATCCGGAGGGAACAACACTTTGGCACAAGCCTTGTCGCGCGTTTATTCCCTCACCCAAATCGATGGCATAGACCTTGTAAAACTGGCTCGTCTTCGAAAGGAAGATACTGGGCCTCAACATGAGTTGTCGTAAACAACTCTACAATTAGCTGAAAAACCCTCCGGTATAGGAAGAGATGCTATTGTCAGCCACGTATCGTAAACCGTCAATGCCCAGCTCTTGCTACACTGGGACTCACGCTGTTCCCCGAAGCTTCTCAGAAACGCTTAGTAATAACGGACGCATAAACCAAAACACCGACTGGCGACTCGAGAATTCTTTATTGTAACACCAACATATAGCCAACTTTAAAATTAAGCTTTAAAACTAAGGTTTCTGACGGTTTTGTCCTGACTTCTTTCTGAACAGCGACCGATGAGACGATGACTGGTGTATTGATGCCTGCGCGAAATTGGGGAAGTTGGTTTTGAGCAAACAACCATGAATTAATCGTTCAATCTTCAACTATTCTATGCGACATTTCCACTAGTACTCCTCGCCCCATCGTGCCTAAAAGTTTTCGCTGTAACGTCTTCAATACGTTGCGGGGCCTATCCCACCCAGGTATTCCAACTACCGTCAAGCTCGTAACTGGTCGGTTTTTTGGGCTGGCATTATTAAGGAAGTAGGGGAAAGGGCACGCATGTGCTTAGCTTGCACTTTTCTTCTCCCTGACGCTCATTTTGAACACATCCATATAGATTTGGCTGGATTCCCATAGTTATACTTATATTTTAACTTGCATCGATCGATTCACATGATGGCGGGAAGCAGTACCCATCAAGGGCGTATCTGCTGAAACAGTCGCTTGCGTCTTTGTAGAAAGATGGATCGCCAACTTTGGATGCCCATCCTCCATAACAATTGATCACGGGCGGCAATTCGAGAGTGGCTTATTCTTCGCCCTGACTAAGATCATAGGTTGCATGAGTTTTCGAACAACAGCCGACCATCCTCAAGCTAACGGTGTAGTTGAACGTCTATACAGACAGTTGAAAGCTGGTTTGTCAGCTTCAATCAATACCCATCGGACTGAATCCCTTCCGTTAGTTCTCCTAGGGATACGGAACGCCTTGAAAACAGATGCTAGTTGTACTAGCGCCGAGCTAGTATATGGCACGACACTACGACTGCCTGGCGAGTTTGTTTCCCCCTCTAGCTTCCCACCAGCGGTATATCACGCTTCATACGTCAACAGGCTTACAAACACAATGCGTTCAGTTAAACCTGCTCCCCTTCGTCCACAGTCCATTGGTTTCTCTGTTCACCCGTGTTTGAAAACTTCTTCACATGTGTTTGTTCGTCGTGACTCTCTGCGTCGACCATTTGACCATTGGATCATACGACGGACCATATAAAGTCATTAAACGTACAGATAAATTCTTTGTCTTAGACAAAATGGGCCGCGAGGACACCGTCAGCATCGACCATCTGAAACCGGCTTACTTGGAAAGTAATCCTATTAGCCTAGAGCTGAGCGTACCCAACAATCCACAAGTAGTAGAATATCCTTTAGTCCTCGAAGAACTCACTAGCACTGCGAAAGCCACCAAACCTTCTGTCGAGCCCCCCTAAGAAAACGCGTTCTGGACGTACCGTAAGACTCACAGAATATCTTCACACCTATGTCACATAACTCAGTGGCGTTATTCACCGATCTCATTTATTTTTGGTATTAATTATTTTTTACTTTTTAGACACAACAATGCTTTTATTTTTTTACTTTTGTTTAGAGCTTGATTCCACACCGTATTTTGATACAAGTATGGAATTTTCAGCATGGATAACGGTAGCCCAAATTTTGCAGGCCGACCATAGATATCAGGTGTGTGTTGGGAAGCGATTGAACCCCGGACCATTTGCATGGTCGGCGAGAGTCCTAACCACTGTGCCACCGACGCACATAACATCACTAAACGCAAGTAAAAAAGTTTTTCTATAACAGTACATGTTACATGCACTAAAAAATTAGATGTATACCTTTTTCGATGTTCTAAACTTCGCATTCTTTTACTGTTTGGTAGATGCACATAATTTTTTCTAAAACGCCCATTTGGTACATTTTCCTCAACAAGTTTCTTAGCATTCTTGTTTTCTTTTCCAGGTGCGACGGGCACTGGACAAGAAACAAACGAAGTACGAGATCCAACGAACAACATCAATGAAGCGATGTACAGACACCCTATTAGCATAGGCAGAGAGGCCAGTAGACAGGCGACCAATATACTCGGAGGAGATTTTTTCACCCTTAAGAGAACCATAGAGTTTTTTACTTCCTGCTGGTTCTGTCCTAGGGCCCTCACAACTATGCTAGGGGGGAGTGAGGTGTAGCAGTAAATAATTCCCTAAAATTATTGACCACAGCAATCATCACTGAAAATTGGATGCTGACCATTAGTGTTTAAGTCGACTTGTTTAGCTGAAGGCTTCCGGTCAGGCGTCCTCACCATCTGGTACTCCATCGTGTCACGTTCCTGCACGATCACTAGCCAGCCTAGCTTCCGCTGCAGTCCATGATTCGGTCCTGAAATATGTCTCGTAGTTTGGACGATCAAATACTGTCTTTTGCTTTTCCTCCGGTCCACGAGAAACGAATACTATAGAAGCTGTTTGTACAAGATCTTGCTTTAGTATACTCTGTACAGTTCTCGAACGTCAATACCGTCAGCCTCTAAAATATTGTTGTCTGAACCGTCATCTAAAACCTCTTATCCAACGATTTCCTTCTCACGATACTTCAGTCGTACAGGTTTCAAGCTCAGATACATTTTCTCTCAAATACTTCGTGTACACACAACTATTTCACTCCATCTCTTCTCTTGATGCACTAAGATGCTTAGTTTTAAGCATAAATGGGTGGCAGGGCTCTTCTCGGCCTTTAGAAACATCCGAACTGCTGGCCTTACATTCCGAAGACTGGTGACATTTCCTGAGACGGCGGAAACAAAGTCCCATCTGCTTTGACCACCTTTCACAGAATGTGCTGAAAGTTCCTAACATATAATAATCACAACCTTCACGTACTGCGCGGAGCTTCTCGTCTATCCCAGCAGGTGTCAACTCTCGTGTAGAGCATGTTACCTTACCTTGTGACCAGTTTTCCAAATTTTCTCAGCAGACACGGAATGCAACAACTCGGAAAATGCCGGTTGACTACAGTTCTCCCTAATGTCTTCCACTGCATCTGCCCATTTAATTTGCTTAAAAATTTCCATTGAGTTATATGAAAAAGAGATGTTCAGCGAAGAGACCTTTTTCGGCGAATCCATTCACATAGTTGTACAATCGCATCTATAAACAATTATTTGTGTGTATGTACATGAGGTCTGTCAAGTTTAGATAATTGATCAGGTAACACAATAATGGTCTAATACGGAAACAAGGTTAATTAGTAAGATTGAGTTAGTAAGTTAGATGACGTAATATAATTGACTAAAATGTTTGAAATTAGTTCAGGGCAGCAGCAGAGGTGATTGCAGGTAGAGTCTAAGCAGAAGTGGGGTAGAGAATAATGCCATTTAAACAGGAACTGAAATTGAGCAAATAATTTGGGGGTCGTAACATAAATGACT